CTCTCATCTGTCTCGCCCATGGGAATGACTTGAATTCCACCTATAGTGATTGGTTGACCATCTCTAAGCAATCTCGTCCTTTCTCTTTCTTCGTGCTCATACCGACCCAGCTCCTCCCAGGCTCTTCTCGCTTCCTCCTTTATAACCTGACTTTCCTTCTTGACTTCCTTCATATCCCTTTCCATAAGCTCTCTATACGTGTTTCTCTCTTGCAAAAACTCAAGTTCTTTCTTTTGAGCGTCATCACGTGCATCTTGAACTTTTGCTTCAAGGCGAACTTTCTCTTTTTGAAAATGGGTTTCCCAATCTTTCATTGTTTGTTGTTTTTGTTTGTGGAGAGCTTGTTCAATTTGTTGAATGAGAGGCAGCGGGGGTGGGATTTGAAGCGTATCGGAATCTGGTCTACCTCGAAATTCCTTCGGTTGTTGCTGTTTCGAAACTTCCACGCCCAGCTTTTCAGATATTTGGGATAGAAGATTTCTGGATTCAACAAATGCCACGAAAGATACTGCTAAATTTTCTGGGAGCATGTCCCAGATTAACACTGGCAAAGAGAGAAGGATGATGGTGGAATGGCTCGCAAATACTCCTTCCACAAGGGCAAACTGTGCCAACGCTGGGAATTGCTTAATCCATTTGTGCCAAGCCTCCACATCCACTAATTGATTTTCTTCTAATGCAATGGATATGAGCACGTGTGGTACCGCTAACTTTCCCTCCGGTGTTAGTCCATGCAAATTCTCTGGAGAGTAAATATCTTCCGCAATTCCCGGAGACAAAGTACCCGCCCAGCTATTGCCTGGAGTTGTGCGTCGGCATATCTCAATACTTAGGGATTTCGGATCCTCGGAAGCGAGTATATAAATGGGAGTCTTCTTATTTTCTTGTTTGTGTGGATCGCTATGTTGACTTTCTTTGAGCTTCTCGTGTTTAAGGACAGAAAGGATCTCGCTATGAAGCATAGCCGCTGAAAACGACGGCCGGTGCATCCAGTCATCCAAGACGTGAAGAAGGGCATTAGTAAATGAATGGCGGCCTGGACCTGGTGCCCACGTTTCAAAATCGCTTGCAGCAATCGTTTCGATGACACCAGGTCCTTCTGACGGCGCTGCACCTGGAGCAGAACAACAATCCAATAGGTAAAGCACATCCGACTTTGACTCTTCGAAAACACTTTGGATGGCGGACCAGCGCACAGAAGCATGGGAAATGTCTTGAGTACAAGACCAGGTAGTTTGTCGAGAATTGTTAATGACCGCATGACCTCCATAGTAAATGATGATAAGATTATCTTCCGTGCCATGCTTTTCTATATAGTTTACTGCCTATGGTATGTCAGGGTGATGTTAAGGAGTAGTGGAAGAAGGTAGCTTGCCTGCAACATAAGTTTGTTATGTGAATGTGTCGACGGGATCGTCCAAGTATCGGTAGTGAAGCCATAACATATCTCGAACATAGAACGCAAGGCATTGAACTCTGGTTGAGCATCTATATCACTCTCCTCCCACTTTATCAAGACAACCAAAACTTCGGCATAACGTGACCGGCCACGATTGGGAAAAGCCCTCGCAGCAGCCTTTATTGAAATTTAGCATTTTGCGTATAGAGTAGATGAGATATGAAAAGGTATTGGTGTACGAGTACAGAAATGACAATACATGAAAGGAAAGGACCCGCGTAACAAACAAAAAGGAAACATGATGGTCCGTGATACGAATTCTTATAGATGGGGATTTTTTTTACCTCTTCGACCCTCACTGCAAAAGTCTCGAGCTCTTTCATGTGATACCTTGCGCGCGAGATATCATGCGTGTTTGTGGAGATTGATGATGGCGGTGAACTAATGTAATGATATTTAATCTGTACAGTAACAATTAGATCAAGTCGGAATGTATTAAAAAAAAAACTCTCGATGATATAAGAGTGAAGCCTCACCTCGTCACTCAATAACTCTGGAGTGTTGGGTGTTTGTGTATCCTGGGCTGAATCTGACATCTGGTCCATAATGTTTCGAGGACGTGACTGAGGTGCATCAAGCACATGTACCCCTGTGAAGATATTTGTATGATCACTTTGTATGGTTTCTGTAACAAAAGACAGTGAGTGGATTTAAAGACTGGATGAATTCTAAATTGCGAACTCTAGAGCTGCATTCATTAGGTAGGCAGTGCAGTTACACGTACGAAGTATGATTGATTACGAAAATGCATGCCGTGAAAGGCGAAAGAAAAGAAAGAATCTGAATGATAGGTTGAATTAAGAAAAAGGCAAGCTAAAAGGCAGAGACAAGAACATTTGGGGACAAATCGCATACAACACATGCAGAAAAAACATTCCCCTGTCAGAAGTTGACATGTCAACAGGGTTCATCATGAGCATCAACCAACAAAGCAAATTGAATTGGAACAAGTCGAGCAAGTTGAGCAAGTCCATGACTGGCATATGACTGGGGAATACGGTTCGTGCTTGGAACGCCATCGCCTCTTTTGATCAGATTGTTATACCAAATGAACATAAGTTCGAATGGAGTGGATATGGATGAATCTTTCATAAGTGGGTTCGATGTCATTTTTTTGTGTGAAGGTCGAGGGGGAAGAGGAGTGCTCGGAAGGGGGGTGGTGGTATGAGAGGACCAGAATGCGGCCACCAGTTCCTTTCATTTTGATAAGATCTGGTCTAGTGATGAATTGTATGTATGTATGTATGTATGTATGGAATGCTTTCCAAGGTGGTTGGTTACTTTGTAGGTATCTTTTGACTCAAAGTTGGGCGAAAGGGTTCTTCACCGTTCCTTTCGAGAAACCCGATGAACCAATTATGAAAAAGTGGTATTAAGGCGGTGAAGGTTGGTGTGCACTTATTAATATAGTATGGATATGGATATGGATGTGTATGTGTATGTGTATGTGTGTGTGTATTCGGTATATATGTATATGTGTGCGTTTGTGTATATATATAGAGGTATGTATGTACCGGTACATGTATGCGTATGCCTAGGTAATAATAAGTATGGAATATTATAATAATAAGGTAGGTGATATCTCTTATTTCATAAATGATGGATGATAGATTATAGATTCCTGATTAGAAGCCAGTGGAACCTCTTTTGAGTCTTCTGAAATTCTGAGTCTTCTCTTTCCCCACTGATGCTGATAAGAGTGGAAAAGATTTCAATGAGATTTCATTAAGATTTCATTCCGATTTCCATAAGAAGGGCCAAACTCCCCACAGAGGAACGTCTATCATCATGGATTATTGCTGCTGCTGCGTCCCAAGTACCAATATAGGACTCCATATAATTAAGCTTCCCGTCGGTATAAGAGGTGATCTTATACACTGTATATGGTAGATAGATCATAGATGGAACAATGGTGAATAAGAATTAATCTTGTGCATGCTGTCCATTGCCATACCGAGCAATGGTACAGCATACTTCCTCTGGATTGTATGGAGTGAGCAAGGTTGCATAGGCCATGGACGGAGTACAGAGCCAAAATCTAAATTGTTTCTATGGATCCGAGATGATAATCGGAAATTATTGAGGAATGGATGCCCCAGCCATTTATTTTCTTTCCTTTCTCTTTCCATCCATCCATCCATCCATCTTTTCTTTTGCTCTGCGGTCTATGGTCTGCTGTCGGGGCTCTGCTGTCTAGACTCCTCCGCTGTCTGTCAGCTCGGGCTAGAAGTTGGGTTCATAGGTTGAGAATGGAAACGGTGCGAGACATGATACTTGATGCCAGTCAAATGGTAGGGCTATATCTGAACTGGTGTTTTTGGTGAATTTGAACCTTAGGTATGAATGTTAGTTGTAAGGCTCAACTACTTGGGGAACTATTTTCAACAGTCGAGTAGAAAATATGATAATTGGGTTTAATTGTACGGAAATGTCAAGTCAAAGAAACTGGCCGTGTAAAGTGTTTGGATGCTCCTGTGCAAGTGTCTACCTAGGGGAAAATTGCATAATACAGAGAGAGTATCATATATATTCCGTAGACAAGCATACCTTATCATAATCACAGTCACAGTCGCAGTCACATTTACTACCTCATTTCCTGTATATCAATATCTAGTATAGAAACTGGTGAAACTGCATTCATAGATCCCAGGCGTGCTGCATTGCCGTCTAATTATAATGATAGATGACATTGGGCTGCTATTATCCTTTCTTTGCCTTCTTGCCGCCAGTTATTGGTACGGACAGTTCAAACACACATACACATACATACACACACATACACACACATACACACACATACAAAGTACACACACACACACACACACACACATAAACAATCCTCGGTAAACTGGGGAGTTCCTTACATTCCATCAAAGTCGCATGACATGACGAGACGATGACCCTACAAAACTTATCACCATATACACACATACCTAGGTATTATTACATTCGGCATTGAATAGAGAACATTTATCAATTCAATTAATCAATCAATCGACCATATATGGCATGATAATTAAATGATTCAATCATTCAATCACTTTTTCGTCCAATCTCTTGCTCATTCACTCAATTCAAATCAATCTTTTATTCCCATTTCCTTTCCCAAAACAACATTCCCCACGACGTCGGCAAAATTCATAACTTCAATCTCACCTATCAACTATCACCATTCATCACTCTGACTATCTGCCAACGTACGAACGTGTGATCGATCCCAGTTATCGATCCACTACCTTCCTCCCCCTCAAACCCATTTCGACATAGCTTCTGAAAGTCTCATGCCTTACACGCTCTTTTGATTCCGTCTGCACTTGATCTCCTCCACTCACTTGCTTAATCCTTATTCTTGCCTGGTTTGATGTCATAGCAACCGTTTACCAAATATTACCTTCATTCATAAATTCTGTGGCAGCCTTAGTACTCACCGCCGTTCATTCGCCCAATTTGTTCCATTTCGCCTTTTGCTCCACATGCGCCGCCAACAAATCAAGTTTTAAGCGCCGTCTGCTAGATCTCAATAATAAAGATCGTGTTAGCAATGCCTCACAAAGACCGCGATAACGATCCTGAGGTCGAAAACGAACAAACCTCGTCGGAGAAGCTGCGTCACCGATCATCCAAAAGTGATAAAGACCCAAATCGAAAGCACAAATCAAGACCAAAGGCCATAGACCCTGACACGGGAGAGCCTGTTAAGTCATCTCATCGTCGAAAACGGGATAAAATAAAAGACGAGAAAAGTGAAGGCATGTCGGAGGTGACAACTACTACCATGGCGGATGTTGTTCCTGAGCTCTCGAGGACGTCCTCTACGCCAGGCACATCATCCTACCCAAGTTTCAATAAAAATTACAGTAAAGAGGCTGTAAATAGCTATGTGTCAGAGCGGCCTGCAAAATCGAAGACTGGTCCTTACACGCCAGAGGCAACAGATATCGATTCTGAGAAGAATAAATCCAGATCTGCAGAGAGCCTAAGGCGAGCAGCTTCTGCAAAAGGCAGACCACCCAGTCCACCAGATACTGAATTTACACACCGACAGAAATCTACATCTTCAAGAATGAGCAAGGTCAGGGAGGAGGGTTCTGAAATGTCCTCAAGACCCAGTTCTCGAAGCTCGGAACATCGGAAGTCGTCAAGAAAGGAGAAAGAAGACCGGTCCTCCACGTCTTCAAAATCTAGGCCATCAAAGACTGGTACACCCCCCATACGGACTTCAAGTTCCAGGACCTCAAAGTCTGAAAGGTATGACGAGGACGATGACTCCAATGTTACATCTGTGGCAGGTAAAAGACAGTCACAACCTACATCTCGCCGAAGGCCTACCAATATTGATACGGATTCCTCCCCGGCTTCGGCACAGGATTCTTCGCCAAAAACTCCCACTCAGACTCCTCAATTTCCTCCTCCCGGAGCGGCTGATATAAAATCTACTCCATCTCCTTATATGCATTTTGATGCAGCCTCTGTTAAATCTAGTGTGTATGGCTCTCCACGTCCTCCTCCACCACCCCCTCCCCCGAATTTACCATTAAACATCCCTAGCGTTGATTATCTCCTCCAAAATGGCGGATTGGTCCGTCCGGTTCCCAAGACCCTACTTTCTACCTCCTCTCAATCGCTCAATTCATCACGGTCCTCTCCTCCCGCGGAAATCCAAAAGATATTCGGACCATACTTCAACATCCTGGATCAATACGAAACAGTCATCAATAAGAGTGGATCACTCGCAGTTGCTACTGGATATCGCTCCGTTGCAAGAAGATTGCTCGACCGCTTGGAAAATGTTTTTGCTAGAGATTTATCATCTGATGGTTGCTTGTGTGTTATGTGCCAGGATTTAGATCTTGATTCTCACGAGGGAAGTAGGGGTCTCTCATGGGGAGAGGTTTTGGAATGGGTCAGTGGCCGACGTGAACTTCCTGAATGGCCTGCCTTTGATTTCTCAGCACTTGGTGCGAAATCAGTCGATGATTTAGCTGGTCTTGGTATATCAGGTCATCACAGACCTGGATCACCTATTAAGATCGATCCTGATGTAGCTGACGAATTTCGGGAACATTATCTACGACAATCCATAAAAACAAAAGCATCGGTGGACAAATGGCTATCAAGTTGTCCTGAAACAACATCTGCACCTCCTCAAGAGGTTGACGATGAAACTCTTTCATTTGCTATACTAACTCATCTCAACCACCATGACCGACCTCTCTTCAACGCTTTGCTTAGTGGCTCCACTACATTACAACCCGTTTCACGAGCACCTACTCCATTACGAAAACCACGCTCAGATTTCATGATTAAAACAGTACAATCTATGCAACGACTGTATCGATTGCCACTCCCTCCACGAGATCCAGAAGTCGCCATATATTTACTCAAGAACCCTCACATTCACAATCTTCTCGCAACAATTTCTGGCATTGCACCATCAGAATGGGAGATTTTAATATCCGGCCGATTTGATGGATTCTTATGGTCTGGAGCTGATAACGAAGTCATTGATGAATTCCCTTCTCGCGGACCCACACCAAATGGTTACCGGGGACCATCACCTGTCATGAGAGGCCCTTCTCGTAACAACACCCCATTTTCACCTCGGTCAGCTAGTTATGGTTCTCGTGGTCCTACTCCATCTCAACAATACAGGCATCCAGTCTCTAACGATGAGGAAGCTGAAATTGCTGTCTTGGCTGAAATAGAGCGTGAAATATATGTAGGCATGGAGGCACTTGAGGACGCATTCGAAGGTTTACATCGAAAGGCTGAGGCTGTTCGTAAAGCTCTTCGTGAACGTGGTGTCGGATTGACTATGGCAGCAGAGTCAAGACGAACCAGTCGTCCAGAAATCATTGTTGGTACTCCTGGCCCTTACTCGGCAGGTTTGGGACCAGGATACGAGAGACCAAGTTGGGCCGAGGGTGGCAGCGAGTTTATGAGTGAAGCTGATTGGGATGAAGATGAAATGCAAAGTGAATTAGCACCAGATGATTCTGCAAGTAACATCAGCAGTTCACGACACAGAAGACCAAAACGAAGAAATGAAAGAAGAACACCGGCATTGGTTGAAGAAGATGAAGATGAGGGTTGAAACCCTAGGATGTCTTTTCAATCATGAACACAATATTATGGAAGATATGAAAATGATATGACAATATGAGATTATGAGGAAACGCCTCCTACGGAGATGGATGAAATGAGATTACGATTTGTTTACGAAATGATATCCTACTTACTGCGAAAGTATAGTGCCAGCATGAAAAAGTACGACATAGGAATACGAGGGAGATTTTTTGGCGAGCTGTGGAAGCAAGAGCAGTTCTATATCTGGAAAGGATATGAACTTTTTTGTTGGTATATTTTGTGGTTTATATAAGCAGGAGGCTGTTTGCAATGTGCAGGTTCCATTTGCATACAATATGGGACTTGAGATTAAGTTATGGTGATGTGAGGAGGTATAGAATAGCATAGCAATGATATCGTAACATTCCCTCGCAATATTAGCACGAAATGAATGTTTCGTTTTTCGTTTGAGAAGAAAAAGAAAACAGTATGGCGATTCCATTCGCTGGGCTTAGCTCCCCCATATCATATCTTGTTGGCAGAATCCTCCCGCGCGTAATAATGCGACTAGGAGAATTCCCACGGGCCCTGCTTTTGAATTGTTGAAGAAAAGCATAGACCTGATGTGAGGTTAATTTTATTCTTATGTCTACGATACGGAGCTTCGGAGTATTCGCATTGTTTGTGGAGGATTTGGATCACCCACTCACTCACTCACCCACTCTTTGAAACACGCTCCTGGATTTTACGTTCATACGTGATTCTTTGACGTATGTTGAGGGTCGCTTGGCGCTGTCTATCTATGGGAGCGGGTGGGCGATGACACGTGATGGAGGGCGTGGGTGTGGGCGTGGGAGTGGTTGATGAGAGACGGGTGGGCGAGGCGCTGAGGCGGTTTGGTGGTTTGGTTGTTTGGTTGTGGAGGGTAGAGGGAAGAGGGAGGGAAGAGGTTTGGTGTACGTAAAGATTGGGTGTCTATCAGTCTATCTACATGTCTGTCTGTCTACATTGGAGGTCTGTATTCTGGGTCTTGGGTTTGAGATGGGTTGACGGATGATGGATGAATGGAGGGGTGGATAGATGATGGATGATGCATGGATAGATGAATAGAGAGGTTACGAGGCGGATTTTCTGGATGGATGCGTGGGTGAGTGTGTAGGTTGATGGATGGATGAATGAATGAATGAACGAAGAGCGTGTGTGTGTACAGAAAGAAGATCATCTATCAAAATTGAGAAAATCGATAGGAAAGGAACGGAAGTGGGATGATGTGATGTGAAGATTATGTGGGAAGTTTTTCCTTATAATTTACGAGGTTCGGAGGTTTCTTTTCTTGTCCTTTTTTTAACGTTTGATTATTCGTATCTCTTGTTTTTTCTATTTCCTGCGTCTTCTGCTTCTTCTTCTTGTTATTTCGGACTCGGAAGTTCGAGATTTGGATTTCTTTGTGTATGTATGTGTGTATATGCTGTGTTGGGTTTACATATCTGCATGTAGAAATTTGAGTTGAGCTCTCCTCCTTATTACGCACGCGGATACATCATCACATCATACGAAATCTCTTCTTATGCGTGCGGCTTATCATTCCTGCTCATAAGCTTTTCAATCCATTCCTCGGGTATTCATCAATTTCCGGAGCGTTTTCAAAGACGTCGAGTAGAAGGCTTTCTTATCAATTGGAATGCGGATATAGTGGTGAAGGGGAATCGCGGTTCTGCTTGATTTCATACCTCATACCTCATACCTTGTTCATTCATTTAGATCTCTTCTCTTCGCATACGCTGTATCTCTATTTCGATTTTAGACAGTCAGAGAAAGATAGATGAATAGTGCAGTTGAAAGGTTTTGGAGATATATACTCGTTACTCAAGTTGCTGTTTGATACTTCGCCTACGTCTTTATCTCACATTCTCAGTCTCGTTTTCGAGATATTTTCCAATATGGCTTTACGAGTTGCTCAAGGTATGTACTCAATCTCGAATCTCCACACCCCCAAATAAAATTCCAACCCCCCAAACCCTCTTCACAAAATAATCCATCTAATTGCCGTCCTCCACAGTCTGCGGCATCTGGTTCTGGCTCGCCTTCGCCTTCTTCCTCTTCGTCATCTTCCACCAATCCAACCTCGTGCTCCCCACCCCCAACCTAGATGCACCCTCCCAATTCCACCCCTCCATCTCCTCCCCCTCCCCCTCCAAACCCCTCACCATCCAACAACGCATCTCGCGCTCCGAATCCGCCTGGCGCACCTCCGTCTCGCTCCGCCACGAAATGGCCTCGCACCACCCCAAATACCCCCACATCCCTCTCTTCCCTGCCCAAAAACTCTCCGACTTCTCCAAAACCCCCTACACCCTCTGGGATTTCTTTCCCGCCACCTGGACCTGTCCGCACGATATCCAGCGCGTGGGCCGTCTCGGCGACGGCGGAAAATGGGTCTGCGGCATGAGTCTCTACGAAAAATATCGCCCTTCTTCTCCATCTCCCACCATCTCCTCCTCCTCCTCCCCCCAAACCGCAAACCCAGACGGAAGCGGCATAACCATCTACAGCTTCGGCGTGAACGACGAATCCACCTTCGAAGCCGAGATGCTCGCGCGCATCCCCAACGCCCAAATCCAGGCCTACGATTTCTCCGTTTCGAAATTCGGACCGCAGCTCTCCTCGTCCCACGCCGCGCGCGCACACTTCCACAAGTACGGATTGGGAGCGAAAGATATGCCATCGCGCACGCCGCCCTTCTACACGCTACAGACGCTCATGAAGCAGAATAATCATTCGTACATCGATATTCTGAAGATTGATATCGAAGGTTCCGAGTACACGGCGCTAGATGCGTTTATGGATTTTCATGATGAGGAGGGGAGGTTGCCCATCGGTCAGGTCATGATCGAGTTGCATTTGGTGGATGATGAACATGTGCATTTTGAACGCTTTACAAAGTGGTGGGAGCGGCTGGAGAAATTCGGTATGAGACCTACGTGGTTCGAGACGAATTTGTTGGCGGTGACGTTGGGAGAGGGGAAGACGGATCCCAGGTGTGTGGAGTATGTGTGGGTTAATGTGAAAGATGAGAGGAGTATTTTGTTGGGGGAGTAAAAGCTTGGATCTGGGGAGGGGGTGTAAAAATGTCCCAGAGATCTATATTTTCTTTTTTTCTTGCGTGGGTATCTGGCCCTGGTTTGGGATTTGGTTGAGGTGATTGGATTGGGACTTTTGGTACATAAGGGTATGGAAATAAGTCTGGCTGACTGATCAAGACAGCAAGAGGTATGTTTGTAAAGGAGATGTATATTATGATATAGAATCTATCTAGCTGAAACAGGTCTGCTAAAATGCGTGCCTTGACAACACTAAAGATTTTCCAAGTCATAATATGTCATCCAAAAATAGAAATGGTATATGGAAACCTACATCCAAGCATCTTATATGTGTGACGCAATCGCAATGGAAGCAACTCCAAAAATGTTAGGCTAGTACGATATATATCTCACAATCAACAAAGCACTTACCTCACACTCTACAACGATTTCTTCCCCTCCTCACCCCTCTCCCTCCTTCTAATCAGCCCCTCCAACCTCCTCAACCCAAACATTCCCGGAAGCACCAAATCAAAAAACCAACTGCCAATCCAATTTCTCGCAAACCAAACAATCCACGTCTTATTACCCCTCCAAAGCGTTCTCTGCCCCCCTTTCACAACCGCATCTACCACTCCCTTTGCATACTCCATATTGGGCATCGCGTTTCCACTCTGACTATGTTTTACTCGGGTCTGGAATTCATCTTCGATTTCGAGGTAGAGGGATGAGGGGGGAAGTGTGCGGGGTGTGCGCGCGATATTGGATTGTACGCCACCTGTTACAACGACCATTACGCGCACGGAATAGGGAGCGAGTTCGAGACGGAGAGTGCGGGAATAAGCGTGCAAGGCGGCTTTGGAGGCGTTGTAGACGCTGCCGAAGACGTAGGGGAGGATCTGGTGGTGGGGTGTTAGGATATTGTTTGAAGCAAAGTGATGGTTCAGACGGGAGATGGGACGAGAATATGAGATGGACTTACAGCTGCTAAGCTTCCAATATTGACAATGAGTCCCTTGCGTTTAATCAATAGAGGTACAAAAGCCTGGCACATAGCCATGACCCCAAAAACATTCGTCTCAAAACAATGGCGCGCATCGTCCAAATCTACATCCAAAGCAGGGAGCGTGCAATTTCTCCCCCTAAGCTCCATACATTAGCAGCGCATTCCCAATCGCATCTCTCATCATGAACCCTTCCACAATCTCTCCCAGAAAAATGTTCCTCACTCACGCATTATTAACCAGCACATCCAATCCCCCAATCTCCCCATTCTCAATCCATCCCTCGATTTCCCTCTTGGCTTCCTCAATACTCTTCCCATCCGTAACATCTAGACTCAATGTTCTCATACCATATTCCGCCAAATCTGTTATCTTAGTCGCCGAGCGAGCGCTGGCAATAACGAGATAGCCGCGAGCATGAAAATCGAGGGCGAGGGAGTGTCCGATTCCGCCTGCAGTGCAACTGCAGGTTTGTTAGTTTAGATGTATGGTATGAGGAGAGAAGGGGAAGAGGTACCCTGTGATTAGGACTGTTTTTTGGGTGGCCATGATGAGGTAAGTTGTGTTAGTATAGCGGGTATATTGAAGAAGCAATCGCAGTTACAAGTGCACACTGACGGTTAAATGCTAAATACGAAAATGGGAAGGAAGGAATGTAAAGCTAGAGACTGCTCTAGGAAAGGAAAAGCGGGAAGGGTCTCGGGACGCAAGGAAAGATGTCTTCCGCAACGGAAGAGGAACGAAAACATTATACCACCTTGAGCCAAGATGAAATCATACTGTGAAGCTTGGACTTATAAATTCCGTTGGAGTTTATTTATCTTGAAGCTTGAAAGTTGTGGTTTGTGGATAAGAAAGATGGGGGATTCACGCTTGGCTTATAGCTTGATAGTCGTGCAAGGTTAGGTACCACCATCTGTAGATTACATAGAAAAACCAAGACACCCAAATAGAAGTTTATATTGAAAACACGCATTTTCAAATACTTCTCGAATGATATCAATATCCAATGAAATATTCATGACGTGGATGAATGATGTATAAAAAAGCTTTATGTGTATATATTTGGCTTTCAATTCAAGATAGTGATCCATTTCATTTGATATCAAATATTGAAAAGACAGAGTCTTTCGTGTGTCCCAGAGTTTCCAACTTGCCGCAAAATATTTCTTGTCCTTCCTATAACACATGATCATTTTGATTCTGATATCTCAACATGTCAATGGAATATGTGATCATTATAAATGTCCATTATATGGCTTCTAAATACATAAATTGTAATGCCAATATGTCGCTCATAAACCAAGGCCCAAAACGCTCTCGATATGCAGTTGCTATGATATCTATTCAACGCCAATAACCATGCAATTCAAACCCCAGACCTGAACGCATCCACCATAACCAAACTAAAAAAGGGTGTTTTTCTTCCTAGGACTTTCATCCTCCTTGAGCAAACATTTGCTTTCGAGCCATCTCGCAAATTTCGTAGACGGGACATCGACTGCCCTCCAAAACACATCTGCTGTCCATAATATAATTGGTCCATAAACTAGTAATCCGGCTGCCCAAAAAGCATGTCTACCTATGAAAGAATCTTTTCCAATCGTATTTTCGAACAGGGGTCCAAAACGAGGTTCGAGGATTGTGAGGCAAAGATTGTGCGTCAAATAGAGGGCATATGATATATTGCCTAGATATTGAGGAATTGGTAGATTGAAAAGAGATTGTAAGCTAGTAAGTTGTGTGCATGCAAGTACGATTTGAAAGGCTGCCAGACAGAACCAAACTCTCTGCCCACTATATGGTTCCGGAGTATGCGCATTGAGGGTTGAGAGGAATGGAATTTCGTCAACATGCTCGTTTGTCCAAGAGGAAATATAAAGACCACATATAACGTTGAAAATCCAGAATACCTTCATACAAATGTTTTTATTGGATGCCGTACTGATACTCGAAGTCTCGGATGCTGTATCAATGGATAATTTTCTGGTTTCATCGCCAAATTCGGTAGTAGGAAGGATGGGGGAGGATTCGGCAGAGATGGATGGCGTCGAGTTATATGATTGGAGGAGTGTAACTTCGGCAATGAACATTCCGCCTAGAAATTCAACGGCGTGTAATTGCGCGCTCCAGAAACAGAAAGACATGATGCATGCTAGAATGAGGAGCCGCATATTTATACGAGCATGAGAAAGCCCAAGTATAACAATAAATAGAAGCATCGATTGCGCGAATTCCACAGGGATTGTCCAAAGTGCTGGATTATAACGTGGCAGAGGCAATGAAGGGTCGTCCCACCTCCAGGATGATTGTAAAAGCTGCCAACAAGTTTCGTACCAATTCCCAATCTGGGCGCTGAGTGACCATAGGGGAAATCCGTATCGAGCTTCAGAGAGCTCATAGTATACGGCCATAGACATTATAAGGAGTGTTATGAAGGATGGCAAGAAGAGACGGACTGCGCGGCGGAAGACGGACGACGATAATGTAGATGCAAGTGCCGAGTATTGTTGAGAGTGTATTTGCTTAAGAGGTTTGTAGGTGAGGACGAATCCAGAAATTATGAAGAATATATGTACCATTGGCCTGGCAGAATATAGTACTCGAACAAATGGGAGTTGTATAGGTGATGACGGGGCACCATCCTCATAAAGTCCATATGGCTCAGTCCACCATCCAATATTCTCCTCAGTATAATGCCCCATGAACACGATGAAGGAAGCCACCCCGCGGAGGCCATCGAGATATGAAGTGGGATGTAACTTTTGCGTCTTTGGCGAACTAGGTCGTATCGTTCTTCTCTGTAAGAAACTGGGTATACATCCGTATGCGAGCTTTTGAAGTAGGCGTTTCCCTGAACTCAAGACGACCGTGTAGTCAGAATTCTTCTGCGAATCTGGTTCCATTATTGCCCATAGCATTTGGGGTTTATACCCCTTGGCTACCATCATGAGGAACAGAGTTAAGTACCGACAATACCTGATTGTGCCGTACTGTTAAGAGTCGTGATAGTTTCTATGAAAAGAAAGATGTTCGATTCTCTCACAAAGATCGAACGGTTCTGTGTGCAGTCTAGTATTTCTGCAATGCCATGTAAATATGTTGAAGAAACTTAGCTGGGATATCTAATCAAAATCAAAGATCTCGCAATGAAAGTAAGAGAGATTGGGGTAAGGGAAAGACATGAAGGAAATATTCACTCGGTAAGAGCATCTACTCATTCCTCAAACCATACAGCCCTCAAGCATTTGACTCAGTCCACAGTCATAAACAGAGAACAAGCCTCTTTCGGATGGATCGACTAATTTGCGGGGGCGTCGCTGGTGAATTTAAAGTTATATTTTTACTCTCAAGCTCCGATTTGTCTTGAATTGAAGCACCGAACTTTACCCCTTTAGCTTTAGTTCAATGGCACAGCATTTCCTACTCGTTGCCATCCACTGTTTGCAACAAGAGTAATGCTTGAATAATTTGCTTGTTGATACTGAATGGGATGATATTTCCGTACCGGACATAGCACGTCGATCAGTCACGCTTGTGGTTTGTCGATGAAACGATCATTTTGTTTCGACTTTGTTTCCCAGGAAATATCCATAAGTAAATGCTTGATCGATCAAATCCTTGTGTTGCATTTTCATCTCTAACAAGTCTGCAGAGCCACTGCTACAGTTTCTGCTTGAGGTGCATCATGCAACTTCGAAATCCTGCTCCTGTTGCGTGGAAGGGTGCGGTTCGAGTAAATGCTGCAATTAACCAGTACCTACAACTTGAGGTAAAAAGTGGCAAGATACAGTGGGATATCTCCGCCGATAGAACCACCAGGGACATCTGTAAACTGAGCTGCTACTGGTGATTAGACTGTTCAGCTGAGCGGGTGGTGGAAGCGGGAATGTTCTCTGACCAAAAAAGTATCTCTAAGTCAGGAGAACCTTGTTTGATGGATCCCGGCCCATGGGAATTCCATGATGGAATGTATTGGTGGAGCACGGGAAAGACCCTGACTAAAGTTGGAGGTTTCAGACCACCATCTGGGATTCTTGAGTTCTAGAACCATTGGAATTGATAAAAGATTGCATAGTTATACGATATAATCTAAATCAATTCCAAGGTTGGATTCTTCTAATAGCAAACTGTAGAGGTAGAGGATAGGATCCAAGAAGAACTTCCATGGAAGGATGGGGAGACATCATGTGTCCCATCGTCAGTGTCGCAGACTCGCCGTGTCATTTCTGAAATCTATGATGTGGTTGAACATTGAAGAAAGTGATCTAGGGTTTATTTGTTTAACATGGACATGGCGGCGTGAGTTGTGATTTGTCAAGTATTATATCAATCCTTTTTTTTTCTTCAGATCATATAAGTTACCACCAAAGCTTCACTACCGGCTTGGCATCTTTTATCCAGTGGTGTCTACGATAGATATCGTTATCGAGAACTCAACTCTGTACAAGGGAAAGAACTCGCGCAGGACCTTCAATTTTCATACTTGATGTAGGATAATTGTATTCACATTGCTCAACTTACTTACTCAACGTCTTGTGTGTACAAATGCTGATATCCACCATAACCAGATCACTCTTTAACCAAATCTACTAATGTTTACAACAAAGTATAAATGATGTTTATCATTATCAGCCTCGTAAACAGATGACGAACCCCCTAATATATTTCCATCCACAATCCACAAATCCCTGGCAAGGTGTAGTAATACTTCGACAATTCAATTAATTTGATAATGAATATCGTCATTACCTCGAAATTTCTTGCGGCGGGGTGGATTTGAGATATACACAATTCGGCTGGCTCAACGTGCTTTTGCTTGCAAGTCTTCAGTCAATCTGACACGAAACATCAAAGGCGCACCCTACATACCGTGCCGTCGACTCTGCGGACCACGCCGAACATATGGCGTATAATTGATTCGGCTTGAGTGTTCCACGTTTGCGCCACGGAATTTGATATCTCTTTCTTGTCAAATGTCAAGCTATCGCTGAGCGAGCTGAGGTAGGTTGGCAATGACCAGTCTCATATTGAGATTTTCGCTAGGGGCTTTGATGCCAATTGTGCCATCATCGTGCCAACTAGAGTCTGCGTTGCATTAATGAAGGATCAAAGCTGAGGAAGCCTGCACGTGGTGTGTACAATGTATCGGATGAGGGTCGGTGCTAGAGTGATATTGGGTACATTTCCAATGCTTCATGTGTAGTATGCCCAAGTTAATGGGAGGAGCGAACAGATACTGCCTCGATTCACCGCTTGGTTTGTATATATCAACATCTTCAGTGCTACTTACATGGGTAAGAATACTTACACAGACAACATAAATAAAAGACAAAAGAACGGTACACTAGACAAGCTTACACCACTGGAAGGGAATGTGAGGAAATGAGATATAGTGCAGATGGATCATTGCAGATACTAATCGAGAGGGGACTTCTTCCTCCCTTTCCCTCTATTTTATGAGAAAATCGGCAAGGAGCCAACGACACGCATAATCAGACTCTTCCGCAGAACGGCATCTATATATAGTATCATGGTAAAAAGGCGTGGAGGGATCATCATCCTTCATCGCCATTTATAATATTCAATCGATCTACGTACAAAGTGCATTTAATAAAAATGCTGTCTACCTTCAAGCGTAGATCTCTTTTTATGTTTACATCTTGCAATCTTGCCCTCATAGGAAGAGAAATAAATCAACATGTATACTTCAAGTGGATGAGACATTGTCGAGTGGCGCACAAATTCACAATTGGAGTGTAAACTCTGGCTATTGAAGGCATGGCCTTTTCAACCATAGTCAGTCCGATAACATATCTTTCCGATTTCCCCTCTCTTCCATTTTATGACAATTCTCTCTATTCTGTTCATCCCCTATCTCCTTCTACCAAGGCACTTCCGCTCCACCGAAGCCCGCAAAGGCTCCTGAAGTCATCTCCTTGGTTGCTGTATCGATCTCTTTCAAAGTTTTCATCGTTGGTGAGCAAGTCCCCCTAAAACTCAGACATCTTACCTTTGTGAGAACCCCTTCTGCACTCTGTTCCACGGTCATCGGTGGCGCAGGAACACCAATACTATCTGCAAAAGTTTGTCAATTTTTTGTCTGGACCCATCTTCGTATGATTAGTTTTCTCTCTCTACAATAGTTCAATTTTGAGGACCCCCCGGGGTGAATAGTCAAAACTATCATCTCCTCCTCATCATGTATCCTTTTGGCAGAATAGTGCACTGCGTCTTTGCTAGCTCCACACGAAAGTGTTGACGCTCTGGGCATCACAGCCCCAATACTTCCCAAGATGCTCCCAATAATCACAAACTTTGCGATAGTGGAAGCTCTGAGAAAGGGAAGGCCGGTTTGATAGAGGGCAATCGGCCCAAGTGTATTGGCACAAAAGTCATTTGCGATAGATGAAAGCGGTGTATCAACTGTTGACCTGAAACAGGTTCAACTCCCAGCATTTGCGACGAGGACGTCGATCATTTCAATATCCCTAGCCTTCAAATATCCAGCAAATGCTCTATGAGAAGTTTCAATCTCTCTCGTGGAAGTGGTGGAAATCGAGAGGTAAGTGATGATTAAGTCACTGTTGTCGGCTTTTGAAAGTGCTTTGAAAGGGGCAACATCGGTCGTTTCATTGCGGACTGTCACTACCACTGTAGTGTTGGCGTGTTGAAGTGATATGGAGACGATTCCAAAACCGATTCCTGAAAGAATTTAGAACGAAGTGCCTGTATACATATTATGGTTACTTGCCCCGATTTGCGCCTGTGGTAAGATATACAGTATTTGGTGCCATTGTCTGACAATTCGCTTTTGAAACTCTTTTTCCTACGATTGTAATGGATGAAAGACCAGAACGACTGAATCAAAACTTCTGGATCCAATTTCGACTCTGACGCAAACAGGACACTTTTATGCTACACCCCAACTTCCAACAGTGGAGTTGGGCATGGTACATATTGAGCGCATGACATGGCCGTACAATATCAGTACCAACAGTTAGTCGCTATAGTAGGTAGCTATGCTGATGAGATCACTAGATGGTGCATGGATTGACGGGACACTACTCAATTTTTATTTTTTTATTTTTAAAAAACGAATTCATTCTCCAATTGTTTGATATCAAAGTTCACTTCTTTCCTATTCTATTTCCAATAACTGATTATAACAATTTCTAAGATATTTAAATTGATATATTGAATAGTACTCACATGTCAATTTTTTGTAATGTCCCGTCAGACTGTACACCCATTAGTGGACCTACAAACTCTGTCTCCCCTTCCGGATCGTCGAGTGATCATATCAACTCTCTTTATGCGCAATATTGGTTTCTTCGATGTGACTAAAATTTCTCGTTGTCCTATCGAAGAATGCAAAAAATTCAACAGGAAAACGGTCACGAAGTCATCAAGTCGTCTAATTGTCTATTCGTCTATCGACATTGCATCATACTCTGTAAGCGTTAGTGTCAATAAGTCCACTGCATATGATATAACATCTCTCCTCTGTTAATCTGATCCTTGCCATACCATTAACAGCTGCAAGACCGACCAAATATAATTCTCGATACCGCAATGAGCCAGCTCAAAAAATATCACTCGTACATAGATCCAATCAACCAACAAGTATATACCAACTGTTGGAATCTTACAATCTATGCTATCTTACCTGCATTTATCCTATATACACACGCCGCCCACATACAGTCATTCTAGTCGCCGGTTGTAATCCCATAGTGTGCAAAAACCCCTACAAATTCTAGCTCGAAGTCGGTCTATATATTCTCAGTTTTCAAAAAGCTGTTCCTACACGAAAGAAAAGACATCTCAAATTCACAAAACACATAAATCCTACCATACATATCACCTCACATCACATCATATCAAACGACTCACCCACTCCCTCAAAGAAAAACTCCACAGTCCCCTCCCCACCCAAAAATGTCCGAAGGAATCCAAGTCGTCGCAATCTTCCACCCCACTCCAGGAAAAGAAAATCGAGTTCGTCTCCCCAACTCCTCCTCTCAAATCTCTCTCTACCTAAACTTAACCTTCCCATCTTACAATACACTCTTTTAAATCATTCCGATCTTCACTATCCAATTCATCTGCCCACACACAGATACACTAACAAATCCACTTTCACCAGCTCAAACAGATCCTCCTCGGTCTCGCGAGTAACGTCCACGAGAACGAGAACGGCGTTGTGAGTTATCTTATCTGTTTTTTGCTCTCTCTTCCTGAGTGTTAAATACATCACATTCTTTATCTCAGCATGCCCAGGTTTAGGAATTGCGTATTCGTGATACATACACAAGTATCTTGAATGAATATTCCGCCCGTCTTTCGAAAATTGTGTTGTTGAAGAGTTCTTTGGAAACGGACACTACTGAGCAGGGTGCGGTGTTGAGTATAGAGATGAGAATGTGAAGGTAGATGCTGGGCTTGTAGTTTGGGGGTGATTGAAAGGATAGTTTCGAATGCTACTATATTTTTTTACTTTATGGATCATTCATCACAAGGTTGTATTGACCTATACTATTAGACTTACATCAAAGTTGGCACAACGTTCAGTGCCCAGGTGGGATCAGCAATAGTATGAATAATCAATACAAGTAAAAGTAAAAGAATGACATGATGTTCAATGTGAAGCTAATTGTGTATAGTATTTGATCTCAATAATAAGAACAGATATAGATTCGCCTGTTGCCAATATATCCATCCGCTGCCTACATAACTCATGTGCATGCGACTCTAAGAACTTTTGCTCTCATCTATCTAAACCTTTTTAGAAAAAACGCCCCGAAATGCTGTCATTCTGAATTGTATTCCAAAAGGCATTATCAAACCCCATCAAACCAATGTACCAATATTCCATCTATCTATAGACGATCCAACAAACCCGCGCTCTCCAACATCAAGATAATCGAGTGAACAGCATTTCTGACACTAGTCTTCTCGATATCAACGGTGAAGTCGGCCTTGGAAGGAACCTCATAAGGATCATCAACACCAGTAAAACCCTTAATTTCACCGTTACGAGCCTTAGCGTAGACACCCTTCTTGTCGATCTTCTCGGAGTGCTCAAGACTGGTAGCAACGTGAACGAGATAGAAGTCACCATACTTCTCAACCATTTCACGAGCGTGCTTACGAGCATCCTCATATGGTGCAATTGGTGCAGCAATGACGGCAGCACCGGAACGGGTCAACTCGGAAGCAACGAATGCAATACGGCCGATGTTGCGGGTTCGATCAGCACGGCTGAAGCCAAGCTCCGAGGAAAGCTCGGCGCGAACAGTCTCGCCCAATAAAAGCGAGACAGAACGCCCACCTTGTTGGTTGAGGGTAGTTTGCAAAGCACGTGCAATTGCGTCTTTACCAGAGCTGTGGTAACCAGTAAGGAATACAGTGAAACCTTGAGCAGAACGGGGTGGGTGAGATTCTCTAAGAACACGGACAACTTCTGGGTAGGAGAACCATTCTGGAATCTCACGACCAGAGCGAAGTCTAGAACGAAGCTCAGTTCCGGAGATGTCGAGAGTACGGGTACCTTGTGGGACCTCGTCCTTTGGTCTATATTCGTCGCTATCTGGGAGGTAAGTCATCATTTGGAAAGGAACGACCTCAATTCCGAGCTCATCCTTGAACTTCTCAACAGCGTATTGAGCATCGTATGGACCATAGAACTCCTCTCCCTTGCTGTTCTTTCCTGGTCCGGCGTGATCACGTCCGACGATGAAGTGTGTAGCACCATAGTTCTTTCTGATAATGGCGTGCCAAACAGCCTCACGAGGTCCACCCATACGCATAGCGAGAGGAAGAAGACCAAGAACGGCCATTCCGTTGGGGTATCTAGGAAGGAGTGCCTGGTAAACACGGACACGAGTGAAATGGTCAATGTCACCTGGCTTGGTAAGACCAACGACTGGGTGGATAAGAACGTTGGCTTGACGGGCTCTAGCGGCACGAACAGTCAACTCTCTGTGGGCTCTGTGCATAGGGTTTCTGGTTTGGAATGCGACAACCTTGGACCAGCCGAGCTTGTCGAAGTGGAGTCTCATTTCTGCGGGGGTATCTTTTCTTATATTAGTAGCTTTCTAGAGTTTCTAGGAACCGAATCACTCACATCTTAAAGCAACGTAATCGTAATGTTCTAAACGGTTGATGGCGTCAATCTTTCCTCCAACATAAAATTCAGCTGCAGTGTTATATAGATATTTGACTGCAGGGTGATCGGCATCACCACCGAAAACCTCCTTGGCTTCCTTCTCCCTATCAATTTGTTAGATCTTTCTCATAAATCTAGGTCGGAGTTACACACTTGTTGGGTCTGTAAACATCCTCGACGTTGATAATTGCAAGGTTTTTGTCGTCACGGAAATCGCGAAGAGTAACTCTAGCTCCTGCTTTAATTCCTAGCTCCTCGATTTGTTCTTGCGATACATCGAGTGTAATTGGCATACTGAAGACGTTGCCATCTGCCAATCGATTGTTCTCAACGACACTGTAAGATGTTAGGCTGGTAAAAGTATTTCCGAAAGCGCAGTCTCGTACCCATTGTAATCCTTCTCGGTCATGAAACCTGGTAGTGAGGAATTAGCAATTGTCGTCGAATTATAGATAGATTTCTGTTATCGTATCTTGGCAGATTTTATTCAGAATGGCGGGGTCATGATGCCCCTCCATTAAGCGGAAATGACATACCTTCAAGGGGAGAGAAACCACCACTTAAAATCAATTCGAGATCGCAAAGTTGTCTCTCAGTGAGAACAACAGCGGGAAGGGTTTCGGCCTCTGTTGCAAGTTCATTGTGTCTTGACAAATCTCTTGCGAGAAGATCTCTGTTGCGATCGTTAGTCAATTCGCATCCTGAACCCCCAAGACTTCACACGGTCTTATTAGTTTCGCATTCTTACTTGAGGACACCACCATGAGGAGAGTTTGCCATATCTGCGTTTAAAGGTAGTAAAAAGTATGAGTTGATTCAAGCAATACGTGAGAAGAATTGAGGATATTAGAGAGTCCTCTGAAATGTGCTATGTATGTATGTGTGAAAAAGTTGAAGAGGGAGAGAGAGAGAGAGAGGTGGGATGGATAGACAGAAAGCAAAAGTCCAAGTAAGTTAAGAAGGAGTGGGTATAAATAAGTTACAGAGAACGAACAAGGACGATACTACTTTTATAATGTCCGTATCAAATTATGTGCCTACCAAGAGAATTAATATTTTTTTTCTTTACTAAAAGCTTCAATATCCTCTCACCCGCCTTGTATGGAACCCGGTTTGGGAAAGGCATGACCTAGAGGAAATGACGTGCTCGGTAGCTCTTCACTTACAAAGACGCGTATGTGAATGATAATGACACGTAAGGCTATCAAAGTATTAAACCAAAATAGATCTTTAATATGGAGAAGATGTTTGATAGCCCGAGATAACCTTTGAATGATGTGGGAAAGAAATGGGATATGGGGGGTGAAAGTATAAATGTGGATTAGTACACCTGTATATGTAACGAAGGGGGGAAATCATTTGTCAGAATGACCAAAGAAAGTTTTACGGAGATGGAGATGGCAATGGAGATGGAGATGGAGATGGAGATGGTAACGATAATATACCGAATATATAGTTAATAATAATACTTAGATATATCTAATTGTCAAGTGGAAGGCTGGAAAGCTGGAAGGGTTTAGTCTTGGTATGTTCTACTATCTATCTGATTGATTGACATTTCACTGTTACCTTCTAGACAGCAATAGATATGATAGGTAACGCTCAAATCAAGATTGCTTTGCATGTATGTAATAAATTGAATGTCCACAGTTTGACAGAGTTGTTTTCAAGCAATGCTTGTTTGAACCCCATATCATTTTCCATTTTGATTGAATAAACGTCCCCCTCCCCCTTTCCGCGCGGCACCTGAACCATAGATTGCTACTTTTCTCAATAGGGGGGGGGGGGTTAGATGATGTAGGCCGAGTCGTTAATTATTCTATTAAGACCGGATGTTTCAAATTCATGTGGATCTTTTCTCGATGATAATGATATGCAATCGTCCGATATGAAATAACCAAGGTGTATCTCAACTTTTTATAAGGATCTTCTGGAATCTTTTTAACTTACGTGTAATAGAGTTATATATACACATGCCACTTCAGTTATTACGATCCAGACAATTCATGAAACAGTCTGCATATTCATATGAAGCAAAAGGCAAGGTACTTTCAACGTTCGCTTCAGGAAGGATATGTTCCTGCAGAAGAATGTTCGAAAAGAAGAAAGGAAAGGAACCTTGGAATGGGTGAGAAAGGATTAACCTCACGTGAATGACGATAGAATGCCTTTGAACCATAAAATGTTATCTTATCGTTATCTCCGTACATACGTCCACGGAATTCGGGCTCGGTATTTGCCGTTCTTTATTTTGATGCTTAGGGAAGTTTGAAGAAGTGACAAACTTTTGAATTTGGAAACCTCAAGCCTTTTTCTGCCAAACAATTTACTACAACAAGATGTCTGTAGTAGCAGGTTTGAAAGGCGAAGCTTCGCAACAAGCTCGATCGCTGGTAAGTAATTATAAATGTTACCCTGCAAGTGGTTGCCACTTCGATGTCACAAAAGTTGTGATGCCAAGCAAGGAGAGGGAATGTCCGATTGATATATCCATACTTACTTCTAACTCATAGTATCGTCAACTACTGAGACAAGGTGGTCAATTTGCAGCATACAATTTCCGAGAATATGCGAAACGTAGGACAAGGGACTCATTCAGAGAGCACAAGGACGTTCAAGATGAGAGGAAGGTCCAGGAACTGATGCAAAAAGGATTGAAGGAGTTACAAAGCTTGAAGGTACGAACAAACGTGTAGCGGCAGAGAACTCCTTATGATACTGGGAGGTCTTTTGGCATTGGGATCTGAACTGCATGGCGACTTTTGGAGGAGCATGCATATACGAAGTTGGGTAGGAAATGAAGGTATACTGACGGTCTCCGCAACAGAGACAAACTGTCGTTAGTCAGTTTTTCCAACTGGATCGATTAGTAGTTGAAGGTGGAAAATCGGTACGTACTCATCAGACACCATCGCATAGAAGATATGTTGCTGATTTCCGATGTAGGGAAAGCAATCCGGGGAAAGAAATGACATAATGAGACAAAAAGACACAGGGTAAGAAGTCCTCCTAGTGCAGGGTCTAACGTACAACTCACATTATGTAGATTGGACTGATGTTTCCGGACGGTTGTGGATTGTGGACTCAAGGAAATGCTATGAAGTTAAGACGTTTGGGCCTGGTTGAATGTATCACTATACATGGAGTTCAATTGCACTTTGGTGTTTGTCCGGCGAGACATTCTTATACCAAGTAATTCGGGAAACTCGCCCCTCAGCCAACAAGGTGGCATGAAAAGGTGCTTAAGTCGGTACATAACTTATACAATTGTTCCATAAATGCACAATGGTGTCCTGAACGCTTCAGGATTATGGGAGACAGTTTGAAGCAGCAAAAGGTACCTCTCTTGGTCTATGAACGTCAACTTGCCGGCTTACTAGAATGGTCGTCAAGAGCACGTTGCATGGCAAGACTCCCTTGCGTCTAACTTTCAATTTGAGCTTGAGTGGAAATTTTGAACAGTATCATTAACTATAGATAAATCAAACTTGTGTGCCTTCCAATAATTCTTCTTCTTACCTGGCAAGAGATGTTAAAATTACCTACGAAGTAGTACTGTGAGCTGTGATACACAATCACGTGATGTCATAAATGTCTCTCTCGATTTGCTTTGGGCGTCACTTCTCCATTTCATTTGATCCCTCCGCGCTTTGTACTTATCCATTAATATACTAGGTATTTAACGGTCGCAAGTGGGTATGTAGTCTTGGGTGAAGCAATTCAACCCTCGTTCAATTCATTATCGCGATTGCGCGCTCAATTGCTAACATGCATTTTACTAGAAAGTCTGCGTGTAGCTCAGTGTATCCATATCGAACGCGCAGCCCCAGCGTCGCAAAATCCGTTCCAACAGCCTCTCTGAATGCGATCACAACGGCACAAAGTCTTATACGTTCAAAGCGGACCAGAGTACGACACAATCAAAACAAACCTCTAAAGATCAATGCGTATCAAATAACTCAAGCCTTACTTCAAACAAAGTATCATTATTTGCATCAAATACCCGGGATCCCAACTCATTGATATCGTCGGTCGAGCTTAACACCTCGTTCTCCCCGAATAATTTTTCTACACAACGCGCCGATATGCCCGCTGTAAGTTTCTACAAATTGGATCCTCATACCTAATTGGCAGGTTGTCATACTTTTGTCTCTTCTTGTGAGGCTCTTCGTCAATCCGCACACGTTCCCGGTGGTGCTTGGTTAGAAGCTCGAAGCTAACAATTCGTTCGCAGTACCGAACAGGTGGAAGACGGCAGAATCGCACGGGCTATGTCGACCATGATATACTCGAGGGAATTCCAGTAAGACAATGGCGCCGCGAATTTGTGACAGTGGCACCTCCACCTCCTCAGGAAAGCAGTGCCTCTCAGAACGATATTTGGGCAAAAGAGTTGCCTTGGGGAATGCCAAAAGACTCCCACTTATTACCGCAACATAGTCAAGATTTGCTACGCGCTGCGCGATCTGGAAAGATATACAAGCGACCTACTCCTATGGATGAAGAAGAACAAGATCTTGAAGCTATTCTAGGAGACAAGCCGGACAAAAAAGAGGAGGAAACTAGAGATAGCGGTTTTACAGCCCGTGCCTGGAAGCAGATTCCTGGTCACCAAAATGCGTCGGATATGGACTTTCTGGCCAAAAGAAGGAAGGGATTAGGCTCTACAATTCCTAAACCTGCTCCAGTTCCCACAGTTGTACAAACCACAGTTCGCAGGACGGATGCTGCAGGCAATGAGTACCTGGAAAAAGTCATCGTGCCCCATGGCCAAACTGTTGTAGGGGATGTTGTTTCTCAAACAACCATTCCTGATCCAAACGCGATCGAGGGTACGCCATTCCGACGCAAGGGCCCAGTTGGTAAGAAAGGGAAACGAGGCCCCGGAAGGGGACGAAAGAAGATATTGCCTACTTCTACCCCCAATGTAACTAGCGAACCATTGGGTCAGAATGGCGATGCGGCAAACTCCCACTTAGGAGCTGATGTAAGTCAATGATTTCTTAAGAAATTTGTAGTGGATTTTCTAACATTGGCACAGGGAATCAAAATCGAAGGTGAAGGTGGTGTGACTCCAGCGAAGAACCTCGATACCGAGATGATAGATGACTCAAATCCGGCTTCGGATGACGATGACGGGGATGAAGGCGACCAAGGTGATGATGATGATGATTCCGTTGATATCCATAATTCTCCATCGAGACCACATAGAGACTCTTCCCAAGACCATAACATTTCGACTACGCAAGAAATTCCAAAATCGAGTAGCGTTGATGTCATGATGGGTGGCACTGATATTCCCGGGCCTACGAAATTGGAACTAGAAAGAGTAAAGGATGAAGGGAAATTCGGTAGTCCCTTGAAGCAAATAGCATTGACTACATCCACAGTCAACACTCCTACGGTGTCCCCTACCGAAACTACTTCGCGGGAGCCCATATCATTTTCAACCGAGAATACTCATGTTCCATTGGCTCCCGTTGAAAAAATCAACCAGGAAATGCTATCAATAGCGGAAGTCTCCGCCCCAACCGAGCTACCCCCCATTCCGCCCCATCCCACCAAAGAGCATGAGGAGGTATCCGTGGAACTCCGTGCTGAAGAGGAGGAGGAGGAAGAGATGCTGCTTGATATCCTCGAAAATACAGGAAATCCCCAGGTCGGTGCAGCAAACCTAATAGAGGCCGAGATTCCAAGTCTTAGTCCCGCTGTTCAAGCTTCAATTCAGTCTCCCGTCAAACTTTCACCTGTAGCGGAAGAGAAAACCCCTCAGAATTTTGCAGAGCCTTCCCCAACACCTGTCGTTGAAGAACTACCTACGGTATCTAGCCAAGCCACGGCTCCAATCGAAGAAGCAGAACAGCCAATAGCAACAGTTTCATCCACTTCTCCTGTCAGGGAAATAGAGCAGCCAGTAGCAACAACTTCTACCGCTCCTCTGGTCAAAGAAGAGGCTCAGCCAGCTGTCTCAACTTCACCGCCCCTTGTAGCACCAGAAGCTACTGACCTTGCCGAGGTCGTCGTGGAACCAACTGAGATTTCCCCGCCAACTGAGGAAACCAAACAAGCTGAACCGACTGAACAAAACGAGCCGGTCGAACCAAGTGCATCAACTGAGCCAAAAGAGTCAGTTGAGCCGGAGGTGGTACATGAGTCGAATGATATAGACATGATAGACGAGTCAAATAAGCCAGACGTGGTACATGATTCAAAGGATATAGAGATGACAAACGATTCAAATGAATCCCATGAGCCTAATGAGCCACACGTGGCAGAAGAGCCAATTATACCAGCAGAACCAGTCAAGCCCACAGGCGAAGAAGAAGATGAAGATGACTTTCCGGATTTATTAGGTGGTCTAGAGAGGAATCTCTACGGTAGCTCGCAGCCGCCTGCCACCTCTCTAACATCAGCGGTACCATCAGCATCAATCGCATCAGAGCCTACAGAGCCCATAGAGCCTAAAGAACCTGCAAAGCCCACAGAGCCTATAGAGGAGAACATCCCATTACCTAAGGAGGTAGAGAGTGATACCAAAACAGAAGAGAAGGAGAAGGATGTAGAGGTCGAAGAAGAAACCTCAACATCTTGAAAAGACTATATTTATGTATACACACGCGCATTATGGATATGTCTATCATTCACGTACTTGTTTGGACTACAATACACACCCAGATAATATAACTACATTGCGTTTTTTAATATCTTGGAGAGTATACATTGGTGTCAGAGGTGCAGGTGCAGGTGCTTTTGTTATTCAGAGCTTTCGCTTTGAGGATTGATTCACAATATGGTTTTCGGCCTTGGGGGATTGTATATATAGATCACTAAAATGTTATCAACTACTTTCTTCTTCCAACGCGCAATTGTGAGGTGTGTCGATGTGAATTTATCAATTTGTCGCGTCGTCTTGTCTTTGTTGAATGGAGTGGATTGGATTGGATTGGAATGTATTGAAATTCGGCGTTCTTGTCATTTTTCTGAGTAGGTATCTAGACGATGTTAGTAGGAGAAGGAGAAGGAGAAGGAGAAGTATCATTTATATCGTGGAGAAATTTCCTTTGGTAGTAGTAAAAAATCGGGTGCGGATAAGATATTAAAGATAAAATGGGATGGAATGGAAATGTTATGAAAATGAAATGTAACATGAGATTTATTTATCAATCGATCTATCTATCTATCGATCAATCAATCATAAAACAAGAATTGCATGTTGGAATTGGAATTGGATTTTGTCTTTGGATTTGCACTTGTGCATGTATTTATTTTTATTTGCATTTTTATGATTTACAAGTCTCTCTCTTTCGCTTGTGTCTTGCTTGATGTGATTTGGTACTATGGTACTATGTTAATAAAAGGGGGGAGAGAGGGGGGGGGGGGGCGGATGGGGTAATATATAGATTTTGATATGGTATGGTCTGATATAATATAGCATCCCCCCCCCTCCCTCTCTCTCTCTCTCTCTCTCCCCATTCTAGGTTATCCAGAAAGGTGTATATATATATATAGATATATTCTGCTACTTTCTCATCTTTTCTCTCCTGTTCTATATATACTACATACAGTATTAGCCAGTAGTTAATACTCGTAAATGTATACCACCATAACATAGAATGTGGAATCCGGATCCCGAGGACAAATTGCATCTCACTCCCCTCTCCCTCTCCCTCTCCGCTCCCCCTTTATTCATACGCAGACATACATTCACACCTCACACCTCCACAAAAACATCCAAAGCACAATCTTCAAAACAACACAAAAATACCACAAAAAATCATCTCAAAATGCCAAATTCTCTTGTCACTAGTGTCTTATCTGTCTAAACTATTTCTTTTGAGAGAAGAAGGAAAATACAAAGAAGAAACCCCTTAAGAGCACAAAAAACAAAACCATCCGCCCAAAATTCATAGGTATCAATCATCAATTTCATTCTTAATCTTTTCTCTGCTCTCTTCTCTCTCATGCTTTCACACTGTCATCTCATCTCATCAATCTTGCTTTTCTTTTCTTCCCCTTTCCCCTCAAATATCTCAAATATCTCCCCATTTTCTCCTCTCAAACCACCATACGAATCTCCGTCAATCTATCATTCCCCCTTAAAAACCCCTCAAAAACATATCCCCTTTCCCTTTCCCTTTCCCTCCAAAACCCAAACAAAACCCACAAATCCCGCTGCGTAAAAACAAACACCTCATAAACTGCAGTTCACAACCACCATATCATCACAAATGCAATGAAAAGTAGTAGCTGTGAACCCATGCGTAAAAGAGGAATCAAAAAAATGTAAGGAATCAAAGTGTAAAAAAAGGGGGGTATGCATTCCATTCCATTCCATTCCATCCATTGCCTGCCAATCCGACAATAGAGCAAGTACTTGAACATCAAAGAAAAAAATAAAATAAACCCCGATTCGTGAAAACTTGTTGTAAAAGGTGTAAAGAAATAAAGCTATGTCTGAAACATGCAACACAATGATTGATTGTGTTCGAAGCCGAAAATCGAAACTTGTAAAGTGGTGGAAGAAGATCAAATAATCAGTTTTGTTGTGTCCTTTCTGGCTGGAGATTGTAAATTGGTGCTGCTTCCCATACTCCGCAAACACAAGGCGATTGTGAAGTTATTGTATCAAAATATGTTCACCACCAAAGGTAAGACATATGTCTCAAACAACCCCTCCAGAAAATCATCGTCTGGCCAGACCCTCCCTTTCCTTGAGGCGACTAGTTCTCCATCCCTCATACCAAAGTTCCCTACTTGCCTCCCTCAGTTCACCTCTCCATTCTGCAAAGATTGCTTCCTTCAAACGTACAAAATCACAATGTTCAACATTCATCGGATCCGCAAAACCCCATGGGAATTTACGACCAATAACATCGGGTTCATACAAATCAGGGCTGATGATTGAGAGAGGCAAATAAGGAATCTCGCTAATTTCCGATTCACGTTTATGGCGACGAATGGAGCCCGAGGAAAGACGCTTGGAATTGGGAGAACCACCCGAAGAAGCTGAACCATTCTCAGAAGTAGCATATTCATCTCTTTCATCGAGGCGGCTTTGACTGTGGCCGATAATTGGGCTTTCGGGTTCATCATCTAGTCCGAGTGCTTCAAGTGGGTCGAGATTAGCCTTGCGCAGACTATCCCAAACCGTCTTCTTCAAATACGTCATGTGGGCCGTTGTAATAGTGTCGGCTTTTGAGATGACCGGAATCACAGTAGTTTTTCCTTGCAATGTACGAAGGACTTGTAAATCAAGATCTTCATCGAGACTGCCAAACAAACGAGGGCCTGTACCAAATACTCCAAAATGTCCATTTCCATTTGCGATCACATTCTTTGAATCTTCAATATTTTGGTCCAGGCGTGTGGGGTCGAGAATGAGGAATACAGCATGGATGTGTGTGTCTTGAACACCTGGAGCTCTCATAACCTTCATTTCTTCCGTGAAAGTTTCTTCGAATTTGCTTTCGAGAAATGAAGACATATCTCGAAGTTGAAGATCCACGACATTTTTATCCAAGCCTTCTGAATCCCACAAGGTTACACCGATCCGCTCACCTTCGATTTCCGATTCGATATAATGCGAGATGAAATTTCCAGACTTGGGGGTACGTGGAGCAAATATATCTTCGGCCAATGGTTCGGGCTTCGATCTCTTCTTGGGAGGGATAGCGAGGGAGGTTTTGAGGAAATTAAGGAAAGATGTCTTGCCTGCACCGCGTGCGCCAACGATGAGAACACTGCAGAGCCATTAATAAAAGTCAAGAAAGAAGAGCATGTTAAAAACTTACTTAAAAGGAGTAGGATCTTTACGTCTTCGCACTCTGCGAGGACTATTAATTGTGCTCACGGCACTGCTTGCATAGCTGTATCTTCCACGATGTGTCATGCTCTCTGATCTAGCATAAGGATCAACCCAACCACCATTCCTCGCGCCTGAAGGAACTGGAGGAACTGGCACACTGAGTGTGCTACTCATTGTGTAAGATCTGGATTGCGGATCCATTGAAGCACTTCTCGCACCTTGACCACTATTTCCAGACGTTGCCGAACTCGGTCTGTCTTCACCACCAAACGAGGGAAAATGTGTCGGGACAGCAAGGTCGGGAAGACGAGGTGGAGATCTAGGGATCGCAGCTGCTTCGCGAAGGAGTCTTTCACGCTCTTGCTCTTGCAATTGAGCAAGATCCTTCTTATGCTTGGAGTTTAAATTTCCGGACTTGGATCGACGAAGTAATAAACCACCCAGACTGGAACGACGAGGGGGATTGGCGTTATTATTATGCTTTCCGTTCTCTGGAATTCCTGCTAATCTCTCGGCACCATGTGATGGTGACGTTCCAGGAGTTCGTGGGCGGATTGAAGAAACCATCGTGTAGGTTCGATTTAATGGGAACAATAGTGTTTGTCGCAGAATTGACAGGGAAGGCTTGGTTTGATCAAATCGTATTGTATTGTATGGTGAATTGACTTTTAATTGAAGTGAAATTTGAAGAAAAGGGCGAATGAATGGATATCTCCTTTGGAATTAAATTTCCCTGTAGGCCTTGCTAATCATTAATAAAATGGATTATGGAGAAATACAAGGTTTGGAAGAAGATGGGATGGGAAAAAGCTGAGGAAGACGGAAGAGAGTGAGTGAGCGTCGGGCTGGAAAATAAAATATAGAAAATGAAGAGTTCGGCAGTGAGATTGATGAATTGAGATTGCGAATTACTTTTTGAATGAATTATGATGTGAATTATTTCGCTACTCTCTCTCTCTCTCGCGCGCGCGCTATCTCTCTTTCTCTCTCTCTCTTTCTCTGTCTTCTTTTTGGTTGCAAATGAATGAAATGGATCAAATTGTTTTGTTTCTCGAGTAGTGTAGGAGACCAGAGGTTCTTCTTAACTTATAACTTATAACTTATAAGACGAACTACGACGGCTTTTTTTCCTTTTGTATTTCCATCTAATAAAATGGGAACTTAAAGCAAACGACCGTATTGCATGAATTCTGGTGATATCGAGAGATGAAGAAAGGTATACGGCTTGAATCAATTGATTTGCAAATAAAAGAAAAAAGAATTGATATCAACATACCCGTCCGGCAATGATATCAAATGGATCCAATGTGCTCCAATTTTGATTTGGGAGATCCTTGATAAGGCTGTAACGGTCCAAACTTTTCCATGTAATGCTAGTCGCTAGCTTCGTCTTTGGCGGTTTAGTTTCTCTCTGCCCTCTGCCCTTTGAGCTGAAATGAATGAAGGGGTAGGCAGTGCTGTACGGGGAGATGCTTGAGTCAAGAACTAATGTATGAGAATGATGTTTGGATCCAAAATTGGGAGAAAATGAATATGGAGATTGATGCGTAGGATATTGAAGACGTCCACTGGTGTGGTAGATGGATGTCGATGTAATTAGATGAACTGCGTCGACGCAATCATGTAGACGAGTGACGAACGGATGTTAGATTTAATTGATAGAAGTAGGTATTAATACAGAACCGTATACGAGTAGGTTTAGGTTGGTAGGTAGATGGGTAGTCGTCGATATTCAAGATAGAAGTCATCCAATCATATGTAGTATAATAGTACTTTTGAAGATATTCAGACAAAAGCTACTATTCGAGTACGTAGATTCAAAAGTACAATAAAGAGAAGAAGAAGCTAACATACATTCATTAGCTACTAAGTAGTCAGTTATCATCTATTATTATCGTTCTTCCATCAATCTAGACATCTAGTATTCTGCATGTATCACCATTTCTCATTCATTGTACTTACTCCCTCTTCCCTCTCGTGCGATCCAAGCCAATTGATCGTATAGAAGCGAAAGAATCTCAAGCAAGTATCCAAGTATTCATTCCCAGTATCTATTATTCAACGATTCAATTGTTCATCCAATTCATGCCATCAATCAATCACTCAACACTCATCCATCCATCCATCCCCCCATTCATATATTTAAACACCCTTCTTCCCTTCCAAGTTCCCACCCACAATTCCACAGCGATCATTTCTCAAAATCCCCTCTATCCTCCGACCCATCACAAAACCCGTCCGTCCATGTCTAGACCCGTACCACAATACACAATAGGTAGGTACACCACATTATCATTCGCCATTCGCCATTCACCATTCACCACCCATTCTCCCTCCTCTCTCCTCTCTGTAACGAATTTCAGGGGCTCCAAAACCATTGCAAGTCAGTAAAAGCCACAGACAAACCAATCATATACTATTCCTCCCTCGTACATTCGATACAACGATACCAATGATACAACGATACCAATGATACAACGATACCAATGATACAACGATACCAATAATACAACGATACCAATAATACATACATACATACAAATCTACATACAAATCTACAAACCTACCCAAGTCCACCCATCCACACACATAACACACTAAGAAAACAATCCCCCGTCCCTAGGTAACTAACAAGGAAACCCCCTCAGTGACCCCTCGGAAAGTTTTCAGAACCCTTACGTACCTAGCGAGGATTGGACAGGCAGACAGGAACGCGAGATTTTGGCCTTTCACGCAGGGGTACCGACGGGGTTAGGGTCAGGAACCAAAACATGGGTTGCATGAATCTCCCTATATTTTTTAATTCTTTTTCCCGACGTGGAGATGTTTCATGTTGAATGTTCTGTTCTGTTTTGTTCTGTACTTTGTACCACCACCAATAAATAGTTCTTTTTCTTCTTCACTTCGATTCTCGCAAGACTATTCAATATATACGTATATTATACCCAGACATTTACCTACTAAATCTAAAGGATATCACATCCATCAATCAATCCGTAACATCTCATCTCTCCTTTAGTTAATTTGCAGATAGACTATAGATGCAATAAGAGTATCTCTTAATACTTATTATGCTCATGGATATCATACTCATACTTCAGAGATCTACTCAATACCTACCTACCTCGATACCCTACTATACCACAACATCAACACTATATCATAACCCCCCTATCTCCCCCCCCATCTATCCATCCATCGTCAACCAAATTCCTCTAATTCAAATTCAAATTCAAATTCAAATTCAAATTCAAATTCAAATTCAAATTCAAATTCAAATTCAAATTCAAATTCAAATTCAAATTCAAATTCAAATTCAAATTCAACATCTTCCTTTCTTGAAGACCATTTATTTGATTTTCCATTTCTCTATCTATCTTCTTCGCCCTCACTCACACCTCTCACACCTCTCACACCTCTCACACCTCTCACACCTCTCACACCTCTCACACCCAATCCATCAACCACAGAACCCTAAACTCACCCACCAAAACCCTTCAACCACAGAACCCTAAACTCACCCACCAAAACCCCGAAAACCCAATTAATCACCCACCACATTTGATCAAAACCCACCCAACTTCCAGTCCAGTCCAGCCCAATCCAATCCAATCCAATCCACTCCAATCCACTCCACTCCAATCATTAATCAACCCACCAATCCACCCCCTCAAATCCACACCCTATCTATAATGCCATAAAAAAACAGCCCTCCTCCACTCCACAACATACACCACTCACTGCATCCAACGAATCTCTCTTATGACTGACTGACTTTATAAGCCCTTCACTAACCAACTACCTTATCATCAATTCGTCCATACCTGCCTGGTAATTTCTTCATACATATTACAGATATCACACATATCACAGATATTACGGATACCACACATATCTCACATGCCGCTAATGACGCGCTTTGTTCCGAGCCCCCTATCATGTTATCTATCAATCACTTATTAGTGCCTACTCTGTACCCATTTGTACTACGGTGTGCTCATTGAAATTGGAATCATTCATTCACGTGAGAGCACTAGGTAGATAATTTAGAATCAAGAACACATTTCCATTATACATATTCCTATCAATACTCATATTTGTAATAACATCATTTCTGAAATATCCGAAACGTCCACTTGATTGTTCTCTACTAGCTAAAGTATTCATGTGTCTGTAGAACATGTAGCCATCTCACCCACGATAATGTGTGACGCCCTTTCAACCCCCCCCTCAACCTCAAGCTTTGCGCTCCCTAGTCAAATTAACTGCTGTGCACCAGAGTTCCATTTCATTTGATCACCATTTTTTACCAATCGCCCAAAGCCCAACGACCAGCTAGCCATACGCGGCCCAAAGTTCCCTGCCCAAATTCGCTTGAATGCAAAAGACCAACTCCCAAAGCAGAGGCCAAAATGTAAGGCTTGCTACACAAAATTCTTGTTACACAATCGTCGAAAATGTATCACCAAGTTCGGAGCCATTCTATGAACAAAAGAACAAAGCGGTGATACTGGTTAGCCCAAATGACTGTGCATCTCATAAAATGTATGCTTTAGAAGTTTGAAAGAACCAAAACGCCTTGGGTCGTACGACTCTATATCAACAAAGTAAAAATAACAGTGGCATTATTTACGAGCCGATTTGGTGAGGTCATAAGGTAAGTGAAACTGTAAAACAAGATGTGGGAGTAACGGCCAAAAGATTTTGAAAATAAATAATACCGAATTCAAAGAGCGCTGGCACCTGGATAGGCGGAATTCGGTATCATGCCACCACGCATGACACGAGGCGGTCCTCGACCACCACGACCTGTAGGCAAGGCGAAGTCTGGATTGTCGTTCAAGAGAACATCCTCTCGTCGAGGAGCAAGCCTTCTATTCGGCATTGGAGGTCCCGCGTAGCCACTAGCGCCTCCGTTCCAGTTGGGATTGATCCCTCGTTGTGAAACTGACGTAAAGGTAGACCTCTCGGATTCAGCTGGAGAGCGTTGCCCCGACTGAAGCTCCTCTAAAGAATTGTAAGAATTGTTGCCATCTAAGTTGCCCAACGGATTTGGATGAAGGTGAGTGTTAGGATCATAGCGGTTATTTGAGGACTGTGCAGCAATATTGAGGGCGGCGGGAATTGTTAGAGATGATTTTGTCGCTGGAGCTGGAGCTAGAGCTGGAGCTGGATCGGCAAAACGTGGGTCAACGTCTTCGTAATAAGTATCATTCGAGTTATCTCGTTTGTGAGAAGACTCGCTAGGAGGGAGTTCGACGACAGGTTGTGAGGCAGGGTTCAGAGGTGATGATCTACCTGCTTGCTGTCCCCATACTTGTCTTGGTGCTACGTATCTGACCGCATTAGAAACTTGGCGATTCAATGATAGAACATCACTTACTCATCTTGGCTATACTGACTCGTCTCACTAATCAAAGTCTCATGCCTTTGCTGTATTTTTTGCTGCTGTAGCCCCACCATTCCAGCGACGTCGTCATCACTGTCTCTAAGATCGCCAAATTGCCCGACGAATCCCGGAGGTGGATGTGATGGACTTCCTGTTGTCGCATCCTACATGCCAAATTAGCATCATCAATGTTTCAAGGTGGTTTACTACTAACCATTTCAATCGCCTGTCCAACCATGCCAACATTTTCCAAATCATCCAAAGGCGGAGGTGACTCGGCACGAGGTAAGCTACTGGGTCTTATCTCATCTGGCCTGTATGCAACATATCCACCGGGAGGCGCCGGAGAAGCACCCCTGAATCCACCAATAGGCGCCGAGGGATCAGAAGGTCCTCGGCTGTCATAGCCGGGTGGGGGCGCTCTTCCACCGTTACCCATCGCCATCATTCCGTTGTTCATCCCTCCTCTATACGGGCCTGGGTAACCGCCACCTCTTGGACCATACCCACCTCTCGGACCATAACCCCCTCTTGGCTGACCATAGCCATACCCTCCGCGATTTGGGCCTGGTGGAGGGCCCCCATAACCTCCTCTATATACGCCCCTCGGTGGTCCATAACCACCTCTTCCTGGTGGTCCTGGTGGCATTCCACCTCGCCCTCTCGAATTCATGGAAGTGTTAGAATACTGGTGGCTCAATGCCTGTCCTGGTGGCCCAGCAGATTGGTCACGGTTTCGCATACCGTATGCATTTCCTACTTGCGGCATCATCGGCATCATCGGAATTGGGTTTCCGTATTGATCTATAGATGGGGTACCTGATTGTGGTCCATTGTAACCGTCCATTCCCTGACTCCTAATAGATCCACCAGGGACATTAGTAGGAGAATTTTCAGTGGTCGGGGTTCTTGTAGTCAAAGGTATCCGTTCGTCACTTGTACGTTCATTGTTATTCGCATCAAATGTGGCAAATGTTGGTAGTTTCTCGTTGGCCGGATTTTTCGAAATGCTGGTGTCAGTGACGACCGGAGTGATTGTTTCATTTCCTTGACGGTTGTAGAAATTCTCCCCGTTCATCTCTGCGTTCTCCTCAATACGACGCTTCCTTGCTTTTCGACTAACCAATGTTCGGCGCATAGCGCATGACACAACACCACTCGCGGCGATAATGACTGTGGCGGCGAGCACAACATACGAACCCCATGCCATGTGAGGTACGAAGAGTAGAACATCGATGAGGAATGCGAGTAGGGTGAGAATCAAAGTCAAGATGCTCAGGATGAATATTCCCAATAGGTATCGAGGGGAATGTGAAGGTGCATGGAAGTGAGCGGCGATGGCTAGGATTAGCATGATAAGTGTGAATAGCGCAGCTACCGGGTGGATAATGAGAATAGCAGATAATGTTGATCTGGTACTCGTAGAGAGATCGAATGTAGCTGATTGAGTTTCATCGTAAAGACTTTCTAAATATTTATTTAATATCAGTGCTGTGCTTGGTATGCTAAAGTACGCATTGCGCGGAAGCATGTGTAGAAAGAGTGTGCATTCAAGAATTGAAACTTACCAGTACTATACCCAATTTCAATATTGCTACAAGTGCTCCCTTTACAAAAACCAAAGACCCCAAACTGAACTCCATCGAAAGAGGCCAAGGGTATCGACTTGATTATAGGAGTTGATAGAATTGACACGAGCAAGCATGCAAATGCAGCGAGCAGCAAAAGCGATAACGGAGTCGCCGGTCTTAACATTTTGTTGTCCTATGCTATGCTGATGCGTGAAAAATTGGAAATGCCAGCGTCTTTAAGACGCGGCAAATATCGAGGTTCTTTCGATCAAAGGGTGTCCAGGTGATGTTGTCGCGGAATGTACCTCAAGTCTCAAGTTTTCAATTTGTTGATTGTAATTATTATTGTTGTCGTCCTTAATTCCCCACTCCTGACTAGACATCGATAAATGGAATGTAATTTCAGTGGATTAAGTCATAAATTGAACGATAAAGACTGGATCAAGGGACGTTGTCGTTGCCGTTGTAGTTTCCTCCTGACAATGGCCTTTTCTGAGATACTAGGAGCAGGCGGGGACCAGGGAAAGAGATGGACAGCAGTCAAAGTACATGTGTTTTTGTAGATTGTGATTAGAATTGACTTTGGCTTTTTGAGAAAAGCAAGGTTAAAAGCGTTGATAGCCCACGCCTTCCAAGAACGGTTCCTCGTACTATGTCGTTGTAGGTTTAAAGCGTAGGTTAAAGGCAAACAGTGCAGTAGAACCTGGAAGGGATATCGTGTGGAGTGGGATTCAATTGGTCTCGACTTCAGCCAAGATTGAATTCTTCCGAGATTTCAAAGGCTGTGTAAGATAAAAATCGTAATCTTTGGATAAGAGTCGGAGTATGAGAGAGACAAGTGTGTAGGAATTGGTGACTGTCTAAAAAAAAAATCCTCGAATATTTGTTTGTACAAGAAAGGATGATAGTCTTTCAATCTGTCATGTCAGTCTCTTTCAATATGGTGGTAATTTTCTGTCTCAATCTTATGGGCGTTTCAGATTATTATTATCCGTCCTTTGAGGCGTGAGGCTTGAGGCTTGAGGCTTGAGGCTTGAGGGGGGAAGGGTTCGCGCCGTTCAAAAGTGTCTCGTCTTAAACTACTGTACAGTACAAGTACAGTCTGCACAGGATTCTGTCTGTACTCCGTAGAGTTGATGACTTATGAGAGATGGATGGGGTTCTTCGTGCTGTACTAGGTAGGTACTAGGTAGGTATTCTCGTGATAAATTGTGAATTGCTCAGCCCCGCTGATTAAAGTTGATCTTGATTATGTACCAGGTGTGTATGGATGGGTGGGATGCGAGGGATAGTACTTTATTCTAAAGAAGAAGGAGAACAAAAAAACGACACGACATCTTCTGCTTCTCGGAGATTTATTCAAGCAGTATCATTGAGGTCGATTATGCAGATGGTAATGAGCCGATGGCGATAAAATGGAGACAAGACGGTATGAATAGGTAGATATGGTCGGGGTAGGTAATTGATTCATCCAAGTCGCAACTACTTATCATTGGCTGTATAATACACATATGAACTTGCTTGAAAATCATCCACTGCACTTTGCTCGGTCTGGAGTCTGGAGTCTGGAGCATAGAAAGGGTTGCGGTTTATTACACGCTTTGGAATGCGCGCTGTTCGTTTTTCACTGCTATCACCTGTAACAAACTAACAACAGTGCACATTTGTTTCCGAAGATATTAGGATCTTCAAACACTTCATGCGACATCTAAAGTTATAGATCATAAGATGGAGCTATTGCTTCCGTACTATGGATATGCAAATCATATAAGTTTATATTTAGTTCTGCTTTACTACGCCTAGCTGTGTTTTCTTTTCTTTTCTTTTCTTTTTTCTATGGTACTTGGAGTCTATCAATCACATATCGAGAATGCTAACCACCTGCCAGGTATCTCCTTCCTAAAGTCTATCATAATCTTGGCGAATGAGTGCGTAGGGAAGTATTCGTCGATAACTACCTATCTGGTATATTATATGTATGGTAAGTAGGTATGAGCAAAGTTGTCCGAGAGATCTTACTCTACAAGTCGGAAGGGGGAATAAAATACGCATCCACCTAGAATACCTACCGACTAAGGACCTCATAATGCATAATCATGCATCTTTGAACCTAATGTGTGACGGCTTCCAATTCGGTGGAGGCATGCATTTGCTCTGATAGTGCTCAAGTCTGATGAGGGAACACCTAATGCTACTAAATGAATGCCGATAATCACAATCTATCAAGGTTGCGAATGAACATTTCCCACAGGTGAAAAGTTCCGGGCCACTTCAAACATGGTCCTTGTAAAGTTCCCCCTTCTGCATAAAACACCGGGACGATCACACAGAGTACAATATGGATGTGCTCCATTGCTGGTGGACTTTGCCTGGCTCTGATGCTTTGTTTGATGAGTTGACATACAAATCGGTCGTACAAATACGAACATAATACGAGATAATGATAACGTGTTTTATCAGTGTGCGGGTCATATCAGTATGCGGGTCATTTCGAAAACCACCTAAATCAAGCTTTTTAAAATATTAATATTTTAATAATTAATTATTATTTTCTTGAATAAAAGATCTTAAAAAAAATTTAAAATCTAGGTTTTTTATTAATCTAATTTTTATAAAATAATTTTATTGTTTTCTAAAAGAAAAAGGAAATTGTTATAATTTTCATTACAAAAAAACTATTTTTATAATAACAACTTTATAAATTCGAATTTCTTAAAATTAATTAGATTTTTATAATTTTTATATATTCAAATATTTTATATCAAATTTTCAGAAAATTATATTCATAAATAAAGAAAGTATATAGTTACGCATAGACGAATTTTGTATGTAAAATAAGTGACCCGCATACTGATATAACCCGCACACTGATAAAACACGTTATGAGAAGGATTTGGTATAACATACCTAGGTAGCGAGTTGGTATTGACGTTCCTTCCTTTGTCCTTTCAATTTTATATTGATTTCTTAATCGGAAGCTAGCAACAACTTCCATTCTTCAACCACTTATTATTGGAAACATCTCTATCTCCATCTTCGTTGCCAATAATGCTAAGAAAATCCAAGGAGAATCCGTGGAACTTCTATACTTTGATTTATTGGTCGGATATGTCAACTCGACCGAGCGGCTTAGTAAAGCAGGGAAATCGGACGGGGCGGGGTTAACACAAACTGTTTTCTTATCAACGATAACGGTGGAAACTAGCTTGATAGTTTTCCTTATATTATCGTCATCGAATATTGAACTTTTTACTTCCTCTATGTATCCCATTGACGCCGGCTTTTTTACGTAGCCATGTACCTGCGAAATGCAGGCAGGAGGTCGGGGTTTATTGTACCACCATGTAACAAGTTATTAACCAACACATTCTTTTCTACACACAAAATATCCCACCAGGCACGAAAACAATCAAGTCAATTTTTAATTCGACCAAAGAAGGAGACGATTGGAAATCATGTATATACAAAGGTTCCCCAACGTTTAGCCCATGCGCAAAGATATCAACCTTTTGTTCCCCCTTCGCCAGCATCTTTGGGAAAAGCTGCCCCTCCAAAGCTCTATCCTCGATCTATAAAATGGGGACGAAGATTACTATATGTCTCGGCGGCGACAGGCATAGCCTATCTCATAGACACCCAATTGTACGCATCCTCCATTACCAGATCACTGCGAACATTCGGCCTGGGTATATTGGTGGCGATCGATTATAAGCTTAATTTTAGACCCAATCCGATTCTTGGGGGTGACATTACGGACTTGCATAGAAGAAACGCTGAGAGGATGTTCAATCTTTTACACCAAAATGGTGGATTATACCTGAAAATCGGACAAGCAATTGCTATGCAAAGTGCAGTCTTGCCTCCCGAATTCCAGAAAATGTTTGCGAGAATGTTCGATGACGCTCCGCAGAATGAGTGGCACGATGTAGAGAGGGTTATCAGGGAAGACTTTGGAGGGAAAAGTCTAGAGGAAGTGTTTGGTGTTAGTTATACGAATAAGCCTGGTAGTGGAATAATCGAAACAAAAGCCAGAGCTTCAGCGTCTGTTGCGCAAGTTCACTGGGCGAGGTTGGCTGATGGGAGAGAAGTGGCAATCAAGGTTCAGAAACGAGAGATTGCCAGCCAAGTGGGCTGGGATCTGTGGGCTTTCAAGTGAGTTTCCTCCACTCGAAAAGCATTCGAAATCTTAGATCTTGCTAACAATATGTTCAGGGTAGTGATGAAAGTATACACATACTGGTTCGACCTTCCCTTGTACAGTCTAGTGCCTTATATTACTGAGCGCTTGATGCTAGAAACGGACTTTGTAAATGAAGCGAACAACTCAGAACAGATGGCCGGACTAGTAGCAGGTGAACCACGACTGAACGGTCGTGTTTATATTCCCAAGGTATATCGTAATCTGTCCTCAAAACGAGTCATGACGACAGAATGGATCGAGGGTGTACGTCTTTGGGATAAAGAAGCTTTGACAGCTCCTTGGCGGGGTGGATATGGCAAAGGTTCTCCTGGAGCAAAAGGGGCTCCACTTTCAAACCCCTCGCCAAACATCCTCTCGAGTAACAATCCCAAACCCGATCGCAGTGCGGAATGGAGAGGTCATAATGGCAAAGGTGGTCTAGGCCTCAGTTTGAAACAAGTCATGACTACCATGGTCGATCTCTTTTCCGCACAAATGTTCCTTTGGGGAGTTGTACATTGCGATCCTCATCCAGGGAATATTTTTATCCGAAGACAGCCCAACGGTCAACCAGAACTTGTTCTAATCGATCATGGTCTATACGTTTCCATGACTCCAACTTTCCGACATCAATACTGTCAATTCTGGAAAGCCATCATGACCTTCGATAACACCTCGCTTAACGAAATCACTTCTGCATGGGGTGTCAAGGCCCCCGATCTGTTCGCATCAGCAACTCTCATGCGTCCATATGACGGTGGCGACAACAGTACCAAAGATCGCATCACCAAGGATCTCAAAGGCAAAACAGCCGCAGAGCGTCACTACGAAGTCCAAGAGAGACTCCGTCAAGGTATCCGAGATGTCCTTTCTGAAGAAGAAAATTTCCCACGTGAACTCCTCTTCATCGGTCGCAATATGCGCATTGTGCAAGGCAATAATCAATTTCTCGGCTCCCCTGTCAACCGCATCAAGATGACGGGTTCATGGGCATCTCGCAGTCTGGTCGACAGCAAGGACTTGAGTTGGAGAGAGCGATGGGTTAACGGGTGGAAACATCTTTTGTTCAGATTTGTATTATTGAGCACCGATATGGCTTTTTGGGGAAGTAAAATTAGACAATTGCTTGGATGGGGCGGAGGCATGGAGGATGAAATTGAGAAACAGATGAGGTTTTTGGCGAAAGATCAATTTGGAGTGGAATTGCAACATGGTGTGTTTGATGGATAGATTTATGTATGTGCTGCGGCGCGGGAGTAGGAGCGGGTGTAACATCACCGTGCAATTAGTTAGTCATGTATTATAGATGAAAAGGCCATTTGTTCTTAGCGGGATGATATATGATAGAGTAGAGTAGAGTAGATATCCACTCCATCGTGCTAGATAGAAATAGCTGTATAATCACAAGTTGAATTTACCACTCATAAGATCTTTATCATAAGAGTCTTTTGCAAAGCCCCCGTTCTTCCCCACTATGGAATAATCTACTTGAAGAGAAGGAATATCAAAGTATGTGAGTAACGAGCTCCTTTGGAGAATTGGGGAGACGGAGAGGGAGAAGGTGAAGGGGAAGGAGGTTGTGGATTTGCTTGTATGGTTGGGTGATATGGTTGGATGATGGCTGAAAGTTGGAGTGGGCATTGGGGAGGAGTTGAGGAGGATTTGGCGATGTGTATATTTATCTAGGTAGAGCTTTGTTTGTTGGGTGAGGGATGGGATCTGGAAGATGGGGAAGATTTGGGAGGAGAGACAGAAGTTTATAGAAAGAGATGCTGAAAGAGGAAGGAGAGGGAGGGAGACAGGTAGAAAACCCCTGGTAAAATCAACTTTATGACTAGGCGTGCAACTCACCCTAAGATTGTGACTGCACTTCTAATAATCTTTCAAAGTTGTATATATCGTTTCCTACTCTAGACAAGTGTATACAATCTCCCATAAGCAAATTCAAATCTATATAGCGGTGTTTTGGAAATTGGAAGAAAAGAAAGTGAAAAAAAGGATCAAGTCAAAGGTCCCTAAACACGCCCTTGAAGCAATGAATGTGATTTCAAAAATGAAGACGAAGAGGGGTATAAACATACAAGAATCATCATTTCTCATTCAATATATGAACAATTGAAGTCGAATTCACCCCATAAATCAACTTTAACCAAGCCATCGGAACAACCTCGGGCCGAAATCTGAAAGTCAGACTTTGTTACCCACTTTGATTTTTAGAGTTCTAGGCTCGATACAACAACTTTTAATTTGATTGAAAGACCTTTTTTTTAAAAGAAAGAAATCGAAATCAAATGGATAGATGTTTATGGCATTATTTGCTGTATTTGTGCATGTATTCGTACCTGCAACTTATATTTTGCAGGTAGGTATGATTGATAGCAATCCAGAGCTTCAAGCTTTTTCATGGGCGCAAAATCAATCAGAACAACGAGCCATTGCATTGCGGTGGTCTGGTTTTGACTCACCAAAATCTTCCATTTCTCTCAACTAACGCGACGCTATACGAAAATCCTCATTCGAAGATCCTTGGATTGGTATACACCTCGCTATTCGAACATACAAGACGAGGATTCGAAGGGAACATGGGAGGGGATTATATCATACTCACCAAGTCGCAAACTTCACATGTAATCTTCTTGCAGCGAGGAGCGCAAGTATCAGACTTCTTCTGTCGCAAGCGGGTGCTATGGGAGAAGACGTACTTACACGGATTAAACGGCGTTGGCATCAACGTATTGATGCTGTTTCCGCTATTGATGTGCTCAAGTTCGACGGGGACCTCCCACCTGATATGGTGTCAACCATGGAAATTTGGGGTTTGGTAAAAGCACATCGAAAATCCGTAGCGAGAGAAACTACTACGTGCAGGATTCAGCGACGCCACCACTGGTTTTAGAACCTGTCATTACTGGCATGGACTCGAGTTTTGTTGAGCAGGCGACGCTCGCGAGCTCTAACGATGGCAAAATATCAAGTGATATGAGGTTTTGGAAAATAGTATGCTGCGATTGGGATGCTGAACTAACAGCATCCGCAGAGTTTTCTGAAAAAGTAATGTAAAGAGATCCTCCGTACTGTGGAAATAGCACTAGGGAGGTTATGAAACTTACCGAGGTGTCATCATGTGTTGATATTTTGGGAGGTACAGTAAGTACTGGCACCTATGGAGTAGGGATACGAATAGTTCTGCCAAGTGCTTGCCTAACAGTACTAGGTACATATAGGTCCTGGCTCACCTAATCTGAACATCACCGAGGGACGAAGAAAGTGAACGATTATTGAAGGAGAGTTTGTATTATTGCTGTCGTACAAGAAGAAGTACTGTCTTCGTTTGGAACGACGTCCCTCCTTCCATACCTAAGTATCTCCCATTACGTTGTTTCCTTTGTCGATTCCCTCATGAGGACTGCCTGGGCAATCTACCGCGATGCGGTTTATCTTCTCTTCCACAAGCTCATTCTATTTCCTGCTCGCGATTGCCATGACTCCTCCTAGAGAATGTTAGTTATAGATGGTATAGTGTATGCCTGATTCTCTGAACTTACGGCATCTCTTGTATTCTTCGCTTTGACAGCGACAATAGTACGTGTCCATTCTGCCCTTTCCGGATCCTCTTCCTTGTCCTAGTAAAATCATCAGCAAAGTTGCTATATTCCTCCTAAGTCATAAACCTCAATTTATGAAGCGAGTATACACACTTCATTCTGTTTTTGGGCTTGAATTTCTCTGTTGTGTGCTACAGCACGCTCATTATGAATGCCGATCAACTGAATCATTGCCTTTCGGCAACGTTGCGCGGCATTTTGAAGGCTCATGCTAGTCGTGAATTTGTGCGTATTAGGAAGAGGAATATAATCGGATACATTGAGCTTGTTCCAATCCTGCGATCCGCGGTAGTGTTGAATATGTAAGTACACTGTTAAAGATTCAAGTTAGTCTAGCGATCTTCTATACAATAGGAGCAAGGAAGAATGACAGTCATGTCAAGTCATGTCATGTCTTGTCTTGTATGAATACAAGTATCATTTGTGAGAAATCCATGGCTTACGAATTTTTTTCTGGTCATATTTAGCAATCTCATTCTGTCCCAGCAAGCTCAAGGCAGAAGTTCGTGGCCAATTAAGGCTTCTGGCTTTGGGAATAGGAATGATGTTGATGGAGTTCATCATGGTTGAGCCTATCTTCACGTTAGCGACGAAGACCGATATAAATCTGCGATCAATATGCATATACCCCCTCAAAAATTGAGGTGCAGAGAAATCCCAATACTTCCTCGAAAATACAAGGTATTGATACCACACAAGGAATGGATATGGTATGCTTACCAGTGGTTGCCATTTTGATTTTTTATGTCTTGGAGATATCAAAATCAGTTTTTCCTGTGATGAATTGATGAAACACAGAGAAAAGTATTGTGAAAGTGCAGAATGAAAAACAAGGAAAAAGAGGGGAAGAAAATCAACTACTCAGCCTCAAGTATTCACTGTTGCAATCCGAGTTCAATTCACTATCAGGGTCTGAATCTGGTTTGAAGTTTGTATGGATATGAATACCTACCTATATTCTTTGAGACTTCTCTTTTTATGGCTATCAAAGGGACAAGTGAATCGAGCATATTGATTGAAAAAGAGAACTATCTATGGGTACTCGACATTACTCTGTGGAAATGGAATTGATATCCTCATGGGATTGTGAAGCTGCCGCTTTGCTAATCTAATCTACTATTGCTTCCCTCTATTCTAATACTATTGCAGATATACACTTCCATTGTATTTGATTCGTAAGAAATGACTCTAAAATATACCACACGTTCTCAAGATCTCAATCGCTCTAGCGAGAGGCGGTATATTCAAGCTCATTTGTTCTCCCAGCTAGAATGAATGGATTCACTTTCGAAAAAAAGAGGGGATAATGGAAGAACGGGGTATTGTTAGGGGTCAGTAGTTTCTCAGTGCCTGTGTAGACGGGGGTTTCTGCAATATAATACACCCCTACCTATTTGAAAATGCATCCAAATATATACAAAGTCTTCCGCTACCTACTGTACCGATACTTCTCATACCTGCCTAGTATCTCAAGCTCCTATGGCATGTCTGCCGGAAGAGGCCAAGCTGCGAAATGTACGTGCTAGTTGGTAGCCGCCGACGAAGATCTCTGGACCGGAACATTTGCGCTCTTCCTTTTTGGTGAACTCTAAGCTCCTGGTGGGATAATTGTATAGGTCATGGCCAAAATGACCCGCCTGTCATATTCGACTCGCTCGACGAGCGAAGACACCTTTTTTCGGGTTCGTGAATGATTTAGATGGTAGGCAAGTTTAGGTAGGCGTAGAGGTCTGGATGTCATTGTAGACAATGGCAACATAGGTGTTTTCTTTCTCTCTCTCTCTCTCTCTCTATATATATATTAGCACAATATCTCTCCTACAGAAACCATTCCGTGCATAGAGGTGGAGCTTCTTAGACCCGTAACTTAACTATGCCAAGGGGGCTAGCGTAGAGCCAAAGTATATTATGGGTCGAAGGCAAATAGGATTTATCTGCGTTGTAGATTCCTATTATGCTGTACAAGATACGAACAGGTAGTCTAGACAAGAGAAGGTTCAAAACTCGTGAGTATAAGAACGTCTTCAATGAACTGACTCTGGTGTTGTGCAGCGAGTCATTGTAGGTGAGATTACACTCTGTGGGCCGCGAGCGAGGACCTTCCAAACAAGGACCAAAATTTGTACGATAGAATTCGTTCTTCTTGTATCTCGGGCTCGGCATGCGAGACTTTAAAGCTTTTCGTATATGTCGAAAGTCTTCGAAGAATATGCGCGACGTCTCGATTGAAGTGCCTGCTGGTGAGCCGAAAAGTCGGCCTGCACCGCATGGATAGCCAGCACATCTTTCATTTGTAGGTGGTGGTTACACGGGGCTTCTCTTGATGTCTAAAAGGCACAGAAATCGTCAGCAAATATCCATTTGTATCGATGGGGTTCGTTGACTTCAACCCACTTGACCTACCTTGTTTTGTGACCCACGAGGATTAGTATTGCACAATAAGAGGGAGTTATGCAGGTGTGTTTCATATAGTATGAATAATATTCAGAGAGTGTCTGGATACAATCTTCATTACCGCTGATACTGGTGGCAAGGGGAGAAATTATTAATGTTGATGTACTTAGATTTTTCGAAATTTTTTGGTCAAAGAAGGAGGTGCGAGCTTCACCTTCCGAATAGGAATATCACGAAGACAGGCAATATCGCGTGGATTATTAAGTCACGATCATAAAAAGACACAGTAGAGATGCAGAGAATGGTACCTTGCCAATATTGAGGTTATTGAAAATTACATCTATGGGCACTTGCTAGTTCTAGTCAAATTTGACTTTTCCCCCTCACATTATTGTTTTTGGCAGGAACGATTTCTCCAGAATCTCGTCGCCCAACAAAGCTCGAATTCGTCAATTTAGCCAATCATAATTTCAAAGAGGGCGGAACACTAGCTTCATTTTCTTCGTTTCTTCAATCTCTCAATTGTCTATAAAGTTTTCCATTTACTCCTGCCAATTCTGTTACTCTTCCTACTCTTTTACAACCACCTTCGAAATATCCTCCATCAATTCTGATCGATCTCCTCGATCTTAATTGATTCTTTTCTCTTCTCATATCTTCTCCAGTACCTTGATTGAAGTATCCGATACTTTCAATCAAATACCAAGTCTTCTCGATTCTTGATTGTAAGTCAAGTCCCCTTGTTTTGATTTCTTCTCCATCCTTCTGTTTACTTCACGCTGTCACCAGAACAAACTCTCCTTCATCTCATCTTCCATCTGCTTTTGATACATGTCGAGGTCTTTCTAACCTTTCACAACAGCGTCGAAGATTACATTTCTTCCTTCTTCGGTTCTCTTTCTAAGGTTGCCCTTGGGTTCAAGTTTGTCGCATTCACTTTGTCAATCAAGTAAGTTCTTCGATCTGTCTATCAGTTTGTGCATCTGGCATGTACATGGCATTCACTTCACCTTTCTACTTCCCCGCTGCTATCGCTGGCATTGCGTTGCGCGGCTATATGCGCACATCTACTACCCCCCTTCCATTTCGCTTTATCAAGTCGCATTTGGTATCGGACAAGATTATTTACTACCCTCAACTCTCCCTACCTTACTCTTCTTCCTTTCTCTCACCCCACTTTATCTCTTTACCTTGTTTATTCTTACATTTCTTTTGATTGTTCTTGTGGTTTTATTGCATCTTCATCGATCTACGGTTAACTGATCTCACAGGCTTCACACGATCATTCACTTTCTTGATTATTTAAGGTGCGTCAAAGACACGTCAAATCTATCCCTTCTCCCACTTTATACTTCTTAGACTCAACTAAATAGTTGTTTCATTGCAGATCACCTCAAGTCAATATGTCTGCCTTTGAAACTGGAGATATGGTTGCTGCGTTGCCCGACACAACAAAAACACTTGATGTTGTCGCGGTAGAGCGCAAGAATCCTCAAGAAGCTGGCTGGGTTGTTGCCAAGAAGTATGACTACGAAACTTACAACAAGTCCACCAAGGAACAAGCAGAAACCCGTGCTGCAGTTGCAGATGGTGCCGAAGGTGATGCTGACCCAGCAGCTGATGCAGCTGAAGATGCAGAGCCAGAGACACTTGCCGTTGGCGGTCTTCGTGATGGAGAATGGGCTTCGAGTGGTGCCGTTTATGAATGGAACGAAGAATATGGTGATGTTGGTCCTAGATTCCCCGATCTGGAGGAGCAACTGTTCGGCAAGAACAACAACCATGTTCGCCAGGGTCTCAACTTTGAGAAGTATTTATCTTCATTCCTTACTATACTATGTGATATCGTACTAACATCATTCTCTAGCATTACTACCCTTAAGGTCACCCAAGAGGGAGCCGTTAAGATTGATCCCATCCGCAGATTTGAGGATGCAGGTCTTCACCCAGTTATGTTGGAAAACATCAAATGTAAGTTCCCCCAGAAACCTTCTTTTGATAGAAAGTATTGACTCTCTGCTCTTTTAGTGGCCGGTTATCATGTTCCAACCCCGATCCAACAGTACTGCCTCCCAGCAGTCAAGAAAGATCATGATGTAGTTGCTTGCGCTCAAACTGGTGAGTAATTATCACTCTCCAAATAATTGAGCTATTTACTGACTTTCCATGCTCACAGGCTCCGGCAAGACTGCGGCTTTCCTGATTCCAATCTTGTCAAAGTTGATGGGTAAGGCCAAGAAGCTCGCTGCCCCTCGTCCAAACCCAGCCACCTATATACCAGATCGTGACAACTTTATCAAAGCTGAGCCATTGGTCGTCGTTGTCTGTCCAAGTCGTGAGCTAGCAACTCAGATCTTTGATGAGGCTCGTCGCTTCTGCTACCGCAGTATGCTTCGACCTTGCGTCGTCTATGGTGGTGGTCCTCTTGTAGAGCAACTTGGTCAACTAGCCAAGGGCTGTGACCTTCTCATCGGTACCCCTGGTCGTCTTTGCGATATGATCCGCCGTCCTCATGCTCTCACTCTCAAGCGCCTTAAGTACATGGTTATTGATGAGGCAGATGAGATGTTGGACTCCAGCTGGGAGGAGGAATTGAAGCAAATTATGACCGGTGGTGGTAAGTACCTCGATCATTCCGGTTTCATCTGAATATTACTAATTCTGAAATAGACCAAGAAGAGGGCAATATCAATTATATGATGTTCTCTGCCACTTTCCCAAAGATGGCTCGCGCCATTGCCAAGGAACATCTGGCTCATGACCATGTTCGCATTCGTGTTGGTCGTGCTGGTAGTTCTCACACTAATATCAAGCAAGACATCATCTATATCGATGCTGCCAGCAAGCGTCAAGCTCTCTACGACTTACTTCTATCAACCCCACCTGCTCGTACCATCATCTTCGTCAACACCAAGCGTGCTGCTGATGAAATCGATGATTACTTGTTCAACAACGATCTTCCTTGCACATCTATTCACAGCGATCGTACTCAACGTGAGCGTGAAGACTCTATTCGTGCTTTCCGCAATGGAAAGATGCCTATCTTGATCGCTACTGGCGTTTCTGCGCGTGGGTATGTATAACGCACCGTTGCTATGATGTGAATGTCCTTTGAGTTTATCCGCTAACACAGACTCTAGTCTCGACGTACATAATGTGATGCATGTCATTAACTTTGATCTACCATCCAATGATCATGGCGGCATTGAGGAGTATACTCATCGAATTGGTAAGCATATTCTGCTTCAACTTAATCTTGCAGCTGGCTAATCATTGAATGATCAGGTCGTACCGGTCGTATTGGCAACATGGGTCTTGCAAGCTCGTTCTACAACGATCGTAATGATGATATTGCTGAAGCTTTGGTCAAGACATTGTTGGAAACTCGCCAACCTGTTCCTGACTTCCTTGAGGCTTATCTTCCTGAAGGTTTTACCATGGATGGCCAGACCGGTGATGTTGCAACTCTCAATTTTGATGATGATTCAGATGATGAAGAGGAAGGTGGCGAGAATGCTGAGGGTGGCGCTGAGGCTGGTGGTGCCTGGGGAACAGACGATGCTGCTACTGGTGGTGGTTGGGGTGCCGCTGAAACCACTGAAGCTGCTTCAGCTGATGATGCTTGGGGTGCTCCAGCTTCTGGCGGTGACGCATGGAATTAAACCATTTTCACAAGTCGTGATAGGTTTTGATTTCGATATCTATCCTACACGTTTATGTTATTGACATTTCAAATGTCTCTAGCAATCTGCTTCTATTTGTCCTCTATCTGATGACGTATATGGGCGGGGACGGCCTTGCTTTGCACAAGGGCTCCCTGCCTGTTATGTTAAATTTGTATGCCTATACTTAGGCCGGAGTTGCCTTGGGGGCGGGAATGGCCTTGCATTGGAACAAGGATTTCCTGCCTGGTATGGATGCATAAAATATTGGGTTTCAATTTTCAACTTTAAGCAAATTCAAAAAATAGGACAGCTAATAAAATGATATTTTGTTCTACATTAATTTGAATTCTGACTCGTGCTTTCATGCTGTAGCATCAATACCCCCACCTCTAGACTGAATTTTGAGAACTTCTTTGACATAGCTTGTAATAGTAAGTAAGGGTATGGAGGCTGTTCGAGAGAGTAGTGCCGATAGAAATGTATTCCTTCCGGGAGAAGACTCCAATCGAGAAATTCAGATATAGGCCTTGCACCGTATTTCAAGTTGTCAACAGTCCGTTTCGAGTTTGGCTTAAAAATTCATTTGCGTCTATCAGATACCTCGATTTTGCTGTTGTGTATGAGGGATCTACCAGAATCCTTCTTTGTTCATGACACAAGATACTCCTCGATAGCGAAAACATGCATTCAACCAATGCGTGGAAATCTTTCACACAATCTTTTTTCCTCTGTGATCTTCAGAAATACCGAAACCCAAATACTCAAGCCAGAAAATTGAATCATCTATTCTTTCCTTCTTACGAAAAGACCTACGTACTTCACTTCACTTGTGCTGGCTGATGATGTATTTTCGCATTGGGGATGAATTCATATCAGGTTTTCTTCTGTGCTCTACTTACATGAAAAGCGTGTTGATTTCTAGTCATCCAAACTTGCTAATCTGTTGACCCCCCCTGAGCGTGGGAAGTGATAGCTGAGTCTCGGTGTCTCATATGCATGTCTTTCTAATATCTCTTCACTGGGTAATGCATTTATCTTTGCGATCACAGAACTCTAAATTCGGGAAGATTCACTGGAGAAGGGTTGTGTTACGATTGAAGGGTTCCACTCATTCATCTGATGGTATCCGAAGAAATGTAGATTCGATACATGTATATATGTAGCTGAATAGATCTAAGTAAATCTTGGCGTTGGACGATGACAGCATACAGATATATGACTGCAACTACCTAGATAAGTACAGGTAGACTATCTCGCAACGATATTGACATAGAATTTATTGATTGCCATTGAAATTCACTACCCCAGTTTTAACCGTAGCCACAATCATATTGATGAATCACCATTCCTCTCACATTATAATGAAAACCATCTGGAGATTTTAAACACGCCTGGCTCTTGATAATAAGCTCCTTAAGAAACTTTGACATCAAAAGTAGAGACACAACATTGATCAGCAAGTCCTAAAATTCTGCTCCTTTTTATCTACCTCTCACCTGTATGACATTGCTCGACCATTCCACCCTTGTCAACAATGGGAATTCTCAATTCGAATCCGCAGCTCGCGTTCACGACGTCAACTTTCATTCTTTTGCTTCTCTCTATTCTTGCTGTTATCCTCCATACATCGGTCTTGATCTCTACTGCTTGGGGCTCATTAGCTGTAACTGAAACCCTCCATTTCGGCCACAAAGATTTCGGCATCTATGTTCTTCCAGAGCACCTCGACGCATCTAGTTCTAAGTTGGCACTAGTATCTAGCATTATTTCTCTCGTTACATCTACAGATTGTCTTGCATTTTCCACGGGATACTGGACCAAGAATAAACAAGTAAGCTCCGCAATGATCTATATTTTTTGCAAAATAAATGCTAATCATTCATAGACTTACCAATTCTCTCCTATTTCGATCCTTAGATTGACTCTGCTATTCAATACACTGCTATGCTTCGTCGCAGTAACCTATCTCCACATCTCATACATCCGATCCGCAACATACAATCCGGAGCGCAGTCATCGTGGACACTATCATGAAGGAACGTTCGATGTTGAAGCTTGGACGTGTCAGGTTGTGAGGTATTCGGATGTATACTCGGATAGTATGTGTAGGGATGCGAGAGCTGGACGGGTGGTGCAGGTTCTGATTTTTGTGGTTGCACTTGTGGCGATGTGGGTTGGACGGTGGGAATTGAGAGAGGGGGGAGGGCTGGAAGGGGGAGCGGCTTGGTTTGGATAAGGGCGTGCGAGAGAAGATTCGTGGGGTAGTGGATTGAGTTGTGCTGTTTTGAGGTATTGGTTCTGGGTTCCTACAGGTTACATGACATGATTGAAGTAGAGATGAGGAAAGAAATACAGGATAAAGCTGTAGATATATTACCGGGATCATTGTTATTTGTCCAGAGATCCAGGAGTTTTCACTTCCGATACCTTTATCTAAAATCTCTATGTATCCAAATAATTTCCAAATTTCTAGAAATATTCGTTTCACCACTGTCCAGAATTCCCAGCTACCTACCAATTCATAACTTTTCGCAGCTTCAAGTATGTACTTATTCTGCACATCCGCTTTCAAAGCCGTCAATTTAATCTGTACTTCACATGCAGCTACCCTGCAGTACTAAATTAGTTCTCAAACTGGCATTTGAATACGCACGCAGTTGTTGGTTGATGTTACATGTGGATATCATCATGTTGGGCTGATGTCGGTATTTTGGCGTGTTTATATTCTCGATTATCTCCCAGATCAAAGTCGAGAATGAAGTTTTCTCTTGTATTTCTTCTTTTTATTAGGCTTGTCGGTAATAGTGTGTATTGATGTCTATCTATCTATCTCGCCACCATTCTACAAATTAATCTTGTAACCTATCATTTCTATATCTTAAAACCATGGCATCACGTACCTTCGAGAAGAATCATCCAAGTCCTAAAGCAGGATATTTGAGATATGATAAACCTCGACTACTTATTGATATGCTAGATGAAAGGGCGCGTGTATACCCTGATGCGTTGTTCGGAGAATATCCTGTAAGTCATATTTGTGCTTTTTATCTCCTTATCAGATGTTCAATTTGTATGAAAATCTCGTGCTCCTCGTCACTTTCCTTGCAACCTTGGTTTCTTCCCTCTCGTCCCAAAAAGACCTTTACTCACATACTCGTAGATTTCCTTGATCAATTACCCACAGGGTTATCGCAAAATAACCTATGCACAATTAGCAAACGCGGTTAATGGAGCTGCTAAATGGCTTACCGAGGAAGTGGGCCTAGGAAAGATTCTCAGACCTTGTGTTATATAGGATGGAAAGATTTTCGGTATGTGGTTTTTATTCTGGGGGCTATGAAGGCGGGGTATAAGGTAGGTATTTGTTTATTTGTAAGGAATTGGAACTACTTGGAGAGAGAAGCTATATGCAAAAACAAAAATATGAAATATGAGGTAGTTGTAGTCAAAACCTGAAAGCTGACGGATGAAATCTAGCTTCTCCTCACTTCGGCCCTCCTCACCGCCTCAGCAGCCACTCATCTCTTCACTGCCATGTCTTGCAAAGTGCTCTTGACCACCTCTCCCCAACCTCCAACTGTAGCTCCCGTTGTGAAGCTTCACGATTATCTACGTGTTCTCACAATTCCTTCTATTGAGAAGCTGCTCAATACCACTTACGAATATTTTCCCTACGGAAAAACATTTGAAGAGGCTAAAGCGGAACCATTAGTTGCGCTTCATACATCTGGGACTACTGGACTTCCAAAACCAGTAATCTATACTCATGATTATGCGGCTACTTATGTACGAGCGTTGCAATTAGAGCCTCCAGAGGGATTTGAGTCTTTTGATAGAAAGAGTGAGGGCGGGAGGGTGTTTTCGCTTACTGCCCCTTTTCATGTGCGTTTCTTTCTACTTGTAACCTACAATCATACGTTATAACCATCATCTTATCGACTTACCTCATAATATTCTAGACTTCAGCTATCTGCATTGTGATTGCAGCAATAGCCAATCAGACAACCTATATTTTCCCACCCGCGGCCACAATTCCCACTGCGGCTCTTGCAGTGGAAGGACTCAAGCACACGAACGATGTCATGGGTATTTGGTGGACCCCCGCTAGTAGCCGATTGTGCTAAAAACTCAGAGCTACTCGATTTCTTCACAAGTCACGTCGGATTAATATGTTATGGGGGTGGAGATGTCGCAAAAGCATTGGGAGATATGGTTTCTGCCAAGCTGGATCTCTATACATCCCACGGATCCACGGAATCCGTAAGCTACCCCCTGATTCGGGAAATCGGAGACCGGGAACCGAACGATTGGAGGTAATTTCACGCGCATCCAGCTGCTGGATTACAGTTACGATTTCATCCTGAAGGAGAAATCTGTACGAAGCGTATATTGTGCATAATCCAAAGCCCGAGGAGGAACAACCGGTTTTCAAACTCTTTCCTACGCTTCAGGAATTCAGAACAAAGGATCTGTATTCTCCTCATCCCAGTAAACTAGATCTATGGATCTATAAAATGAGACCAGATGATATGATTCCTCTTTCCAATGGTCAAATCGCAAATCCATCAATCATGGAACATGCTGTCCTTGACTGTACAGGTATCAAAGAAGCCATTGTGCTCCCTGTCCAGAAGATCGGCTTGGAGAATTACATCACGTATATTGCTCTCCTTATCGAACCTACTTCTGAAGGTTTGTCTAATGAGCAGAAGGATGACTTGATGAGAGAAATTTGGCCGATTGTTGAAAAGACAAATTCGCACTACAAAACGAATGTCTTTGTTGAAAAGAAGCGCATCTTATTTGTGGATCCACGAAAGCCATTGGCTAGGACGGCAAAGGGGACTATTAGTAGAAAGAGAGTTTTGGAGGATTACAAGGAGGAGATCGATAAACTTACGTAGGCCATGAGGGTTTCTGTCGGGCTTGAATCTCTGCTCTCTTCATGGTGGATGTTGTTCATCAATAGTTTGAACTCCTAAACTCAAAGGGTTTATCTTAACTTCTTACTTCGGGGCAAAAACTATTATTGAAGATCCTCCGGAACGTACTCAATGTGAGAACCCATAAGCATGCGTAAGCAAGATAGAGATTGATGAAAGTAAATTCTATCAATAGGACGTATGGTATTATATCTGAAAGTGATTTGGAAATGTATGGGATGAGACTTATGGTAGATTTACATCTAGCACTTATTTAGATGCAATTTTAATGTGTTAGGTAAGAGAAGAACGACTTACGAGTAAAACAAAAGTGATGGCCACAGGAGTATAATCAACAAGCTGATGTCAACGACTTTGAATCTTTACCAGCCTTGTGGAACGAGAGATGAAGAGGTCAAGAAAGAGAGAAAACAAGATATATAATACTGAAAGCTATCAGAAATGCAGTGGGTGATTAGACCGATCCGTTCTGGCTGACTTCTACGTAGAGTAAATAAATATCACAAGTCTGGCTCAGACGACTATGTGCACTGTCCGGAGATGGTTCAAAATCTAGATGTGCAATACAACCACGAAATTATCACCAGAAACTTCTCCGGCTAAAGTTTGCGCACTTTGCGGAGATTGTTCATAATCTAGATACGCAACAAATCCAGATATAGTCTCAAGCTCATGCTTCCTCAACACTCGTGTGTGAAATGCGCGGAAATCTTCCTGAATTTAGACGTGCAACAATATCAAGGAGAGGTTTATGATTGATCAGCTCGTGCTCAAATCTTGCCACGTCTCACCCTAAATGATCAAAAGTACGTAGTGTCATGGAATCTCCGGACTTGTCTTTTCTCCTCTGAAAATTCAGACAGCTCGGAGAAGGGCCAAAATTTAGACGTGCAACAAGAATATCTTAACGCATACGAAGACAGATGATTGCTCGTGAATTTTCCCCTGTTGAGATTTCCGAAGAAATGTGTCATGGCCGAATCTAGTCTAGATCTTACCGAGTGGACCTATGAGAATCCGATATTTAGCAATCCCGATCCACTAATTCCGCATATGCCGTGAGGGCGTGAAGCGAGAAGAGGCGAGGGGAAGAAACTAAGAGTGTGTAAAGCAATGAGAAAAGGTGCGATGTATACGACACGAACGGTACAAATGCCTGCAGTGTATGAGCCCTCCAGCATATCAAGTAACCTAGATAGGTAGGTAAACGCACAATTTCAATTCTTGGGCCTGAGAAATGTGTGTTCATTGATGATGTAGACCCGTAAAGTAGGGACATGGAGAGACACATATGTACAAGACAGTATTAGTGAGTATCTTGATCCATAAAGTATCTTGAGATGGTATAGATGGTATAGATGGTATATTGAGTATGGTAGGTATAATTTATGTTATGGTTCCCTTTGTGATGTTTTGATGAGATGGGACTGGCATTGATTTTGTAATCTATTATTAACCTAGCGCCAAAGTTCATGTGATTAGATACCAACAGCCTTGTAAGAAGCTCGGACCCACTGAATTGAACTTGTCGCGTCTCCATCTGATCAACCTCAATTCTAGATCAACAAGGTAAACTTTGGCCTGCATTCAATTCTTTGTCAAGTCCAGCTGCTAAGTCACTACGATTATTTATCACACCAATAACCCAGCGGGGATTACGACCACATATTATCCGAAATAATCAACAATTATTCGTAAAAATGCCACCCTTCAAGGATGAGCACATTCTCATTATTGCGCCTGGCTCACAAACAACTCTTGCTCAACTAGGTCTTCCTGAATCCTTTACACCACCACAACGAAGATTTCCCACTCGCATGTTTCTAGCTCCTGATGGAAAAACCTATGAGCCATACAAAATTCGTCCAAAAAAGAAAGATGCCTCAGTTACAACAAACGGCGATACTGAGATGGGTGGAATGAAAGAAGATAAGGTAGATGAGGAAGAAGAATTAGAAGAAGTCCCTGAGGATGATGAAGGCGCTATCTGGCCATTGAAAGGTTTGTTGATATGTTTTTTGCAGGCCTTGCACATACTGATACAATGTAGAGGGTCGAATCGAGAATCTTCCAGCCTTTTGCGCTTTTTTACATCACGTTCACAATCAATTATCGCCAACTCTTCACACACCAGTAATGTTGATCGCGCAACCTGCATGGACAGCCAAGAATCATGAAGACCTCACTCAATTCATATTTGAAAAGTTCAGAACTCCGGCGCTTTGTATTATGGACAGCGCATTGGCAACTTCATATGCATTTGGAATCGCAAACTCCACAGTTATTGATGTAGGGTTTGAAAAGGTTGATATTACTGCTGTTACGGACTTCCAAATATCTGGCAGAGGAAATATACCACAGTCGGGTGGAGAGGCTATGACATTACGCTTGCAAGAGTTACTCAAATCGAAGGACTTTACAAGGGACATGGCAGAACAGTTGAAGAAGAGTGCAATATGCGAAATATTACCTCTGGGGACTCCTCTACCGGGTGATGAGGAGAACGTAGAAGTTATAAGCAACCCTGCCGCGGCAGCTTCCACTGGCGCCCCATCGTCTGGACCGAATGTCAAGGTTGCAGAAGCACCACGCGGACCAGGACTAAATACCGAGGTGGGAGACGAAGATACCATCAATGGTGTCGATGTTACCGAAGATGATGGTGTTTTAGACGTTGCCAGTATTGTGGCAAGCGGGAAAACTCAAGAATATCTCGCAAAGATCGAAAAGGAGAAAGCTGGAAAAGCTTCTAAGAAGGCTCAGAAAGACAAAGAAGCAGCAGAGGCGGCAGCAGCTAAGCCATTGAGGTTACCAAATTCGAAGAGACCTCGCGCCACGTTCCACTACGAGTCATCACTTCCTGAGCCGGATGCAAAACGCCAAAAGACACCCGAGCCAGTAACCGCCGCGAATCATGAAGGTGTACCATCTCCTAACGGTACAGCCACCGATGCTCCCGCTGAAGCTACGTCAGGTACCGACGCCGCTGTTGCGGTAGATGAAGCTGTAGCTCGTGAGCAAGCAAAGACAGCACGCAGACAGAAAGCTTGGGAAGATGAGCATCCGGACCGCATGAGAAGAGACATTGACATCGGCTTAGAGAGATTCCAAGCAGCAAGTGAGAGTTATATGGACGCTATCGCCGACACCGTCTACAGGACTATTCTCTCCGTCGACGACATCTCCAAACGTCAAGATGCTTGGGATTCTTTGATCATCTGCGGATCAGGATCAAAGGTCAGGGGCTTTAAAGATGCGCTCATTGCAATTCTCAACAGCCGATATCTTATTTCGCCAAGCTCTGCAACCATGTTTATGAGTGAACTCCCTTCTAATCTACCAACACCATCTGGCACAGGTTCCATGACACCCAATGCTTCCTTTTCCTCGACACCACACGCAGTACCCTCGGCCAACGCAGTGAATCCCTTGCTCCTCGCAGCGACCACCGCATCTAATCCTGCACTCAACCCTAACATATCTTCGTTTAATAGTGGTGCAAATGCTCAGCATTCATCACACTCTCAGTCACCCACTAGCATTAAACTCGCCTCTCCCCCAGGATACTTCCCAGAGTGGAAGACTTATGAAGAGGCCGTGTTCTTAGGATCTCAGGTAGCTGCCAAGGTCATTTTTGTTGTAGATCAGGGCCTATCCAAGGGGTTCTTGTCACGAGTTGATTTCAACGAAGAAGGACCAACTGCTATTCATCAAGTGTAAGTTTTTGTTTTCCATGAATCATGATATAAGTGTCTTGTACTGATATAGACATAGTGGTCTTGTATACTAAATGAACTACGAAAGCGGAGTATGTGGTAATGCATCTGGGAGAAAAGAAGAGAATGATTATAAATTTACAAACAAAAAGTATACCCATATTTTCATCAAAGCTCATATATTCATGTTTGTAGTAATAAAATGAATATTCCTTTGTTTTTGTTCACCTTTGATTTACTAAATAACTTGAGTTGAGGTATTTGCGAAGGAATAAATTCAGTCATAAGTATGTTAACTAAACAGCCGATTTGAGACAAGGCCCTCCAAAAAGAAAGTCCCAACTCCCCATCTTTAACACGCATTTATGCCTTCCAGCTCTTCCACCTCCTATGTCCGCTCCTGCCATTCTACCACCTCTGACGAGGCTCTACCTCTGTCGTACCAAACCTACTCGTAAAACTTCCGAATCGATCGATTTTATATTGAGAGATCTGGTCAACTTTAGTCTTAGGAGAAGAGTGGGTCCCGGAAGAGGGTTGATGAAGTGAGAATAAGGAGGAGCGGATTGTGGTGAGGAACCATCAACGTTGTCTTTATCAATTGCCACTTTTGGAACTGGATTGGTTATCTTTTCGTTCGTTTTCCAACAGAGATTGAATAGAAAAAGGTCAATTGGAGGCCCTTCCCACCTCTTCTTTCCTCTTGCCTCCTTCCTCGTTTTGGATTGATAACTAAAACGACCATTCAAGTCATATTAAACGAATGGACGTCAGTACATTTCTCAGCCTTTTGGAGAAGTGAGTTTTACGGGAAGGGAAAAATCAATCTACGCAGGTGAATTGGCCATGCTCTTTCCTTCTCTTGTATTGCCTACTTACTACCTACCTACCAGTGCTTTGATAATTGGTAGGGTAGATGCAACCGACTCACAATCACGCTTTCTTCTTAACAAATTCACTACAGCGCGCTAAACTTTAGGCAGGTTAAACTTTATTCAGTTCGCGTCGCCTTTCTTTTAAATTCATTTAATTTTCCCACGGGACCCTTTTCTTTCATAAAACTCACTTGGCAACTCAACATCTACCTCTTTTACAACCACCTTCTCTCGAAACATAGGTACCTGGAAAGCTTGTAAGTATTGTTGCCTTTCTTCAAACCCATCACCCTATTCAGATCTTTATAATTATCTTTGTGCCAAAACTCTAGTTATTGCTTTGCTGGATTTTGTTCTCCCAGTTTACCCC